AAGCATTTGGGAGAGAGACAGAAAGGCAAAACCAGACAGGAAGAAAAACAAGTGAACATTTAAAAAAACATGCATGACAGTCTAAAAGAAAGGAATGAAGTTACTTACAAAAATAGGAGACAGCTGAAGGAAATTGTGATTGTTAACTGCAGATACACATAAAGCTAAAAGAGGGAGGAGAAGCATTGAGAAAGAGACAGGGTGGAGAGAGATGGGGAAAAGGGTGGAGGGACAAGAAAGAGAGAGAGAGGGAGACATACAATATGCCCATAGACCGCTGTGCACGCGCCCGCTCCCCTGGCATTCCTCTCTCCTCAAGTGAAGAGGGCCACAGCGCACAAGGGCATCACAACTAACGCCAAAGCTTCCTCTGGTTGTTTGACTGTGGGTAATAAATATATCAACATATAAGAAATGCAAAATAAGAGAATAAGAAAGACGGAAAGAAAGAGAGATATATAAAATAAAAGCAACTTTGTCCACACTTGAACCTGAACTCTTGAACTCTGATTGTACTCAGTTTGCGTGGTCAGCAGCAGTTTCACGTGCATCGCATATATTGAAAGTCCATGTTAAAAATGTTTGTGGTATTGGATTATGACTCACTGTGTATTTGTTGTTGAGATTTTCTATAGCAAAATGTGAGTGTGATGGTGAGAGTGCGCTCCCTCTTCACTTGCGCAGATTTCTCCATCCAGGACTGGCTGTTCCGTGTGTCCCATACGCCACCTTTTGGCCAACAGGGGAATAGCACACAAGGTGAGAATAAAATACTGTAAGTGAGATAAGGGAAAGTGATCACTCCCAATGTGGTGTCAATAAATATTCCAATGGAAACACATAGAAGACTAAGCACAATTAGGTTTTTGAACACAGTATACATCCCTGTACTGTGAATCATTATTGTGTATATTACCCAAAGCTCTTTGTACTGGTGCCAGGTGGATCTCACCTATAGCAGAAAGATGACTGCTTCACTGTAACAGAGATGGTAATGGCTCCTCGTTATTGCACTGAAGCCATGCACAGAAGACAGTCCAACTTGTTGGGGGGTATAAGGCAGAAGCATTTGCATATCCTGTGAGTCTTTGATGCATGTTGAAATTCAAGTCTCGCCCATAAATATTTGAAAAGGAGAGTGCATGAAAATCAACATTTTTGTTACATTAAATTAACATGTGTTCTTCTCCTGTTCTGCATGCCTAATTAGAGCACCCCATTCACACAGATGCCGGGGGGGCTGGTTTCATTATGGGACAGTGATGAGGAAGGTGTACAAAACTGAATCATGGTCTAATTTATCACTCTAAGAATAGAAACGTAACACAAATATTATACATTGTTAGGGTGAAACCTTTGTTCTTTTTTTTGTTTTTTTTTAAAACAGAATTGATTTATTTCTAATAAGACAGACTTGATTTATACAAAGATCTTAATTTTTTTTTTAATAGACTGAGGGAAACTGCTGTATGACCACAGCTGTTATAACCATGAAGCATTATACTCACTCCACAATGACACAAAAATCTGCAGTCGTCTGAATAGAAGTTATGCAATTAAATCCAACAGTATTTACATACATGCAAATCATTCTCCCCCACTCGGACTTGCAAAGTGGGGCGCTCTGTTCTCATTACTTGACCCAAATCTTAGACTTGTAACTCTGGATTTCATCAAAGTTTAGTCAGGATCTAATATTTCCTTTCAAGTGAACACAGAACCACTGATTAGTCGTGTTGGAATAAGGAGTGCAACATGCCAATTCTAATTATATACTTATCAGAAACATCAGTACATGGCCCGTACCAACGGCATACAAATATTATATCTCATAAAAGTGTGTAAGTCATGGATTCCACATATTGTCTTTGGGTCCTGTGTGTGTTACGTATTCCACATGCTCTGCAGTTGTTGACACGCATCTCAGTGCATTTCAAACGCATTTGCCTGATTATTGTAACCTAAAATGTGGAATATTTTATGTTTATAAATGGGACAGATCATTGTTTCCTCCAAATGAATTATTCACACGCATCAACAAATCCTTCCCTCTAGATCTGGTTTTGTGTATTCAAATCTATGAAATAACAAATAAATACAATTAATAACAGATATGTCATATTATGTTTTATGTCCTTAAACTGAACTTTTATATTGTTTATGTATTTGTTTTCTTTGGATGGGACAGTGTGTATTAATGACCAGCAGGAGCTATAATAACACCAGATAGTAGCAGATACTTCTATGATCCTAACCTCCTAATGATACTAAACAGTCTCCTTTAAGTGTGTGCCGCAGTAGGTGTACTGTAAACGTGATCTATAATGGTTGATGTAACAGAGACACTGAATGATTCATGCTGAGAATTGTATTTTCTTTATTGTGCAATTTAAACAGCGTCTCTGTGCAATTAATATTAAACGCTTCTATTTTGCTGCATTTCCCAAATCACAAAGCCTTTGTTTAGTTACAGAAAATAATAAAGTCATAGTGCGCCTCAGAACAGCCCGACTTCTCTATTCTTTTTATAGCCGCACACTGGGAAGACTCACTGATTCAGTGAATACCTCTTCAATTATTCAACAAATCATCATTCCATTTCTTACATATTAAAAAATGAACTGTGCATGGAGCTTTAAGATGATAAAACAGCATAAAATACTGTTTTAAAATCAAAGCACCTATTGCATTGGGCTTCCTTGGTTTTGTGTTTGTACAATTGGAGTACAATCTGGATCCCCACAGTGTGCAGAGGAGGTGCCGTCTGTCTTCTCTCCAGTTCAATCCTCAGACGATTGCAGCCAAATGCACTAGTATTATTTATGTGATGGAAATAAGTATGACTGGGATTCAGATCAGGGAAGATCTTACAGAGGAAAAGCTTGGAACAATGTATCTCTGGTCTCAATCCAAATGAAACTTATTATCATTGTATCAACTTGATTCAATGCAGAAAAAAATCAATTGGCCACATAAATATTTACATTTGTAAGTAAAAGCAAAAATAAAAGAAAGAACATTGTTTTCCCTCTTGGAGTTGTTCACAGCACAAACCTACAATACTAACGAGGCTAGACTTAAAATATTACTTCTGTAAATGTTTTTGTTTTAAATAGATTGTCTTTGAACTTAGAAAAAATCTATTTGTCTTGGACCTGTGCTGTGTGTGTGTGTGTGTGTGTTAAAAAAACATTTGTTAAGGGCATCATAGTGTTAAACAATGACCTAAGATGTTGTGATTTTGATTCTGATTGACACTTTGAATGATTTTTTCCACTGTTATTTTTGTTAGCAATTATATTTCAATTATTCTAATTGATAATGGCAGCTCTGAGTTTTAAATAGCAAAGTTTAAGTGAGACACAATTTCTTCATCTGTTTCCCTGTGCCCCTTTAAGTTGTCATTAAAGGGGCATCTATCTATCAGCATTTTTTAAACCAATAGGTATTTACTATTTAGCCCTAATGCGGGAGGCCTTGCATTTAACAGAACAGCACACAATTAGCATAAAGACCCCTCTCACATTCTCTTTGAAGTCCTCAGCATAGAATAACAAATGTATATGAACCAGCAGCCAAACGTCAATACATGGAAATGCCACAATCCTCAGCGGGGGCCATGGGGTGAGTTCTCTCTTCGGAGGGAGGTGTGGTAAACATGCTGCGTTTTTTTTTGCAGAATAAGCAAAAGGCGATGAGGCTGAGGGTGTAGTAGCCACCAGGGCAGTGTGCGCTGTGGGGCCTGGTCTCCTGGAGGACACACGAGGCAGAAAGAGGATGTGTGGAGCCCACCAGTAATCCCTTCTCTCAGGTGTTTCAAAGCACACCAGGCCGCCAGCCAGGGAAAGTAATTACTCTCCAATTAAAGATAAAGATGTCACGCGGGAGGGCGCACAAAACAACAGCAGACCCTCAGACGGAGCGAAAAAGTCAAGGCAACACCAGGATCATCTCGGTCTGCCTCACAACGACGGCCGGCTTTTCTAAGTAAAACATTCTTTTTGAAAGGAGAAATGTAATGCATGTTTTTGTCAAAGGCTTCTTTTTTACAATTGCTACAGAGAGAATTCAAAGATATGAATGATATACTTCAGAATCTCAAGTTATTAGTATCCACCTTCTTTCTTGGGTGAAAATACATGGAATTAAAAATGCCCTTTTGAGCTGGAAAATGCTTTGAACTTACTAACATTTCAAGAAGCTTCTTTTTTTGTATTGAAAGTTCACCTCCTTTGAGCCCACCATAGTTTGGCTCCTCTCTTTTTTCACATAATAGAATGGAGATTATTAGATCAAGGCAATCAATGCAGATGTTCAAAGAGAATTTCAGACCTATGATGAGTGCACATTTTGTTCTAAGGCTTTGTGCATGATTTGAATAAAGATATGAAATGCAGAAGGTGAAGAAGATAATGAGGGTATAACAACCTTTCGATTGGTTAAATACAGCCACACAGAGAGGTGTCAAATGTGCTAATATTTTATTATTCACATTCATATAAAGTTCTATTGTGCAACTGCTCCCAGACGCACCTACTCAGTCCTAATGAACAGAAAAAATAAAAGGTATCTTGGCAAGCTATAAGGAGACTGGCAGTGCGGCTGTCGATACTGTACATACATGATATTTCAAGTGGTTGGGTGGAAAATAGTCTCTGACAAAGAAAATATATTTATACCATCTCCTTTAAACATTCAGTACCTGGGAAACAAAGTTCAAGGTGAAGATCACGCAGCGATTCAAAGTAATTCAGTCAAACATGTAAAATATTAGGTAAATTCCTCATCATAATTCAGTCATTCAAAGTGCAATAACGTGTTAAAAAAAGTTTTTGTTAGAATAACACTTGTCAGGAGTCGGAGTCTTCAGCGGCTCAGAAAACGTGGCTTTGAGCTGCTGACACTGCCATCGCCGCTGCTTTCATTCTGCTTTTCAGTTCAAATAACCACTTCATTGTCCAAAGTCAAATGTTACAAATTGCAGTTGGATGAGTAGCACCTCAGTGTCCGGTAATCGCTTGAGCTGCAGAGAAAGAGAAGGACACAGGGTAAGACCATAAAATATATCTTCATTAAATCACTCACAACAAAAAGGCATATGCAATAACAAAAAAACACACTGAAGATCACAAACAGCCTCTTAAAAAGATGGCACAAATGGGGACATGCAGTCACAAGCGTTCACCACAGCTAAGTAATGAGAACACAAATGCCACAACCACAGGGCCACGTTAATGCACAACTCACATACAGGCACATTGATGGAAATGACAAGCAATTTCTATTATAAGATATTTGCAAGTACATTTAGAAGTGAACCCGAAGCCTAACCCTGTGAAGAAAGCCACACTGGGATTTAAGAAGTGGAAATTGGAAAATTCAATCAATTCAATGCAGCCAGTTGTTTAACACTTTGTCATTCTTCCAGTTTAAATATATCCAGACAAGCACTTGTGGATCTTTTTAAAGCACTGGTCTGTAACTCTTTGGCCAACACAAGGATATATGCTACAGTATATTTTACCGTTTCATGTTATTGCACTGAATTAAAGTAAAAAAACACGTGTCCTAATATAGAGCTGCACAAACCTGACTCGTACTTGTCCTGGAGGAGGTCCTCTTTGTTTGATTACATGGACACACTAATCTTACACAATACATATTTTAGGTTTAACAGAGAATGTTCGATGCACGAGAGGTGATTTAATACTTACCTTTCAATTTAGTTTACTTAAATGTTTTAAATAGTGTCTCTGAAACTGGGAAGAAACTTTTGTTTCATAAATAATACAACAATGCAGTCTTGTAAAAGTAAATAAATCAACCACAACATGTTGTTTTCAGCTTATTAGAAAACATACTGTCTTTTGCATGTCATTGTAAAAAAGGTCACAATTTGACGCTTTGGGCTGAGGGCTGAGGGTGGTCCTCACTTTTCACTTTTCGGTCTGAAAAAGTTTATCTAAAGATGAGACAGTGGCCAAAAAAACCACATGCATGTGAAAACTCACTAGTTTTCACATCCAAACTGTTGTGAGAGGGAGGAACTAGTTAGATGTTTATTTATTACATAGTTCCCTTTTCTTCCCTTAAAGCCTGTCCTTCTGTGGGAGCGGATTCCTCGCTCAATGTTGGTCTCTCCCTTTTTTCCCACAATTTTTCGTTCCTTACCAATGCAGGAAGATGGAGACAGTGAAGGACGTTGGTCCTGCTCCTTATGGACCAATGGCTCCTATGTGTTTGTTTGTTTCATTCTCTGATCAATAACTTTGTAAAGTGCTCTGAGTCTACTGCTGTTGTGATTTACGGCTACACAAAAATAAATGGAATTGAATTGAATTTGTGATTTTAAAGTTAGGTAATCTAAGTCAAATGTAACAAATGATATTGTTTCCACTGTGAAAAGCGCTGCCACTTGCTCCTTGCCCTGGTACATGTGAAACAGTGATGAGAACACGCTCTGCAGATGGGGAGCTAATTGGTGCGCTGGAATGCAGCTGTGCAGACTGTTGAGGAGTCAAAGTGCTAAATCAAAGGTGTCTCCTTTGTTAATTATACACAATGCTACAAACAGCTATGTTCCTCTGAGCCCTTTCTTTTCACATCCATAAATATTTTGGCAGCCAGACAAAAAAGGGGAGAGAAAAAGAACAATTTGCACACTTTTATCACAGTGGGATGAGCCGGCTGCCTACAGATGTTTGTTTTGATTTTAATGGGAGAGAGTGGAGCTCAATGTAGACGCGATGCACCGTTCACAACAGAGATGCAGCATGCGGGGAGCAATCCACACAAGTTACAGCCAATTAGGAGCATTATCAGCAGCGTGCGGTTAGGGCTTACTTTCAGTCAGACAAACGTGTAGTGGATCCCATTGCTTACGGGGGAGGCGGGAGGCAGAGAGGTCGGGGGGAGAGGTGGGGGTGGAGGGGGCGAGGGGAGTGGTGGGGGAGTGGGTGGGAGGTTAGACTGTGGGGGGACTGCACGGGACAGAGGACAAAACAAGAGTTAGTGCACAGAGCAACACACACACACACACACACACACACACACACACACACACGCACAGGTCCAGCTGTGCAAAGAGGCAAATCATCAAACTCCTGGAAAAGTAAAGATAACTCTCTCTTATTTCGAGTTAAATCCAACATTCAGGGATGAACCCGGATGGTTGAAAGTTAAAAGGGATTTAAAATGAGTGACGCTTATTGCCTTATTACAGGCCCCAGTTATATTTGCGTTATTTTTAAATTATACAAACATTACACAAACAGTATTTTGAGCATCACTTAAAGGTATATAGGAGGATTTCTTTTTCCAGGTGGATTATGAAAAACTATTGGTCCTCCTAACTGTCAATCATTCTGGTAATATGTGATGTAAGGCCTTCGTAAGTGTTCGTCAAACAAGAACAGAGTGTTTTTGGTAGAGATTTTTTCACACAATGGCATGTTCTGAAAGCCCAGATTGGGCTTCTCACTGATGGCTGGAACCCACCGAAGAGCAGCAGCAGATGCTCTCCTCGGCAGAGTAGGCTCGCACCGGCAGAGCGCGCAGGGACGCAGATACTGCTCTCACTGATGCTCCAGTCGCAAAGTTTCTACTCCACAGGCATTCAATTTGGAGAAATCCATTTCAAAGCACTTCCAGTAAAAGTGATCTATGTCTATATTGTCTAATATGGTGGAAAAAGTGAAAATCTTCTTGGAAAGTGCGCCTGTGTGAGCGATGCCGACAGTGACTTGTAAACAGAGCACAGGTATGAGGCGTTCCTTCTGAAGAGGGCGGTTGTTTCCTAAAATTCTGAAAAATCCTCTTATAAACCTTTAAATGTTAAAATTCCACTTTCTCATCACCCTGAAACTGTTGAACCTTTTCAGGATGAATTTGATATCTGCCTGATTTTAAATCAGTCTAATACTGATACCTCATTTGGTTTCTTTATTTGTCACTCTGTGTTTTGCTAATGCATTGCATCCCTTTTTTTCTTTGTAAATGTTATGAGGTTCTCACATTTTGTCTTTGTTTGTCTCACCAACGTTTCAAAAGCCAAATAGATTTATCTGGCAAATGTTTCAGGACTAATCAGCATAAGGAACATTTTCAACAACAGGTGTTAGTGGAGCTGCACGATTCTAAAGAGTCTGTGATTTTTCAGACAATCTTAGCAATTACGATACGGTTTACATTTTCTGTTTTGAAGCTAGGATGATGTTAAAAGTGCACTAGGAGAATTCACCTTTGAGGTCATTTCTGTGATTAATGATATTTACTGTTTAAATTAATGAACAAGTAAAACGTTAGATTAGACAAAACTTGACTTACTTATTCACCTGTTTTTGACATTTGCAGTGATGCTTGTGTTATTAAGCCTGTTAGAACACAGGGATAGACATATTGTTTTTCTGTTTGTAAATTAAATTTTGTAATATAAACAATTGCCTTTGTCTTTGTAACGTGCTAATTGTGGCCACAAAAGAAACAATTTTGATTTGCAGTTTATACACTTTGAGTCATATAAATAGACATGAATTTATCCTCAAGGAAGTTTGTTCCCATGTTGAGGCAAGTCATATGCAGTATCTGCATATAAAAGTCTATCAAATCAGTCTAAAAAGGCCTGTAACAAGTGTTTTTGATCAAAGTTTTCTGTGAGACATGTGACTGTATCTCATATTTTGCATGAGTGATTAATAGAGCGTCTGCTATCGGGAAACATTCATCTCTTCTATTCAAACAACAAACATAAGTGCTTAACATTTCATTACCAGCCTTCACAACCTTCCTTTCCTGTGATTTAGGCTATAGACCACAATAATACAAACAGATACGCTGCTAAATAAAAAGTTATTCATGAATGGTTGAAGAGGACGCTACAAAAGTTTGTTTATTTGGTATATTTTTTGAGCACAGGGAAATTAGACTTTCTTTTCAGAGTTTGAGCCAAGTAATTACAATGTTGTGAATCATTTCTTTAACTGAGAAAAAGTAACATTGAGCAATCTGGACTTAATATGTAATGTGTAATTGCAGAATGCATATTTGGAATTTTACGGCGATATTATTGAAGTAGCTCATGCATAATACTGTGAAAAACCTCTCTTCTTTTAATTCAGGGATTTGAAAGTGCACAAGCGTACCTTATTCGAACACCAAAGGAGAGAAGAGTCATTGATTCAATCTTCACTGACAAGATGCCACCAGTTATATTCCCTGACATTTCTCAATGCTGGAAATAATGTTATAATTGTTGACTTTGCCTCACTGTGCATATTAAGGCGGTGTGCGCGCTGACAGCTTGAGTGTTACAGTGTGTGACAGCTACGTGTGCAGCGCGGAGAGTGTGAGCGGCGCCCAAAGACAGACAATCTGAGGCAGCTCAAATGAAAATGAACTTGCCTGCCTTTGCCTGTGGAGTATGAAAGAGATGAAAAGTGAGCACAGTGTCTTTTATGCAGGTTCACAGCGAGACGTTCAAAGGAGCAAGTGATGGTATGCACAAGGAGAGTACGGTTTGACTGGGTCATTGATCAGAACACAAAATGGCCTCATCAAGCGATTCCTCCCAAGTCTGAAACATTTTACATGGATTGCAATTAGAGACGATCCAAGCTCCTAATAAGGAATAATGTTTGGTTATTAGGAAATGAACAGCCATATTGCTTGACTCCACACCTCACGCCCCTCTCTTCTCTTCCCCTATCAAGTACCCAACATTACTTAAAGGCTGCTTCCCTCTCTTTATGCTGTCTTCAACCTGCGATCGAGTCAATTTGATGTAAGAAGTAGTTTAACGGATGCAGCCGGTGGAGCAACTTTTTTCTTTCTTTTGACACACAACTCCAATGAATGTTGAATGAGGGGTTTCTAGCGACTTCACTCGAATGTGTGTTTATTTATATACCAGAGGAATTAAATGAGAGCGCAGTGGGTGACCGACCTGCAACCATTTTGCTCTTGAGTGAGGCCTCTGAGGCAAGTGCATAGGACATTGTGATGATCCTCTCCTGTTCCTGAAGAGCCGAGTCCAGAGTCGCCAGACCCAGGTCCGGTTTGTCCGCCGACACGGCCGGGGCCAGGTTCTGCACACTGTCACAGAAAACCACACAAAAAACTTGAATATTACTAGAAAGCAAGACTATCACTGTGAAATCTGTCAACACTGATAATGGCTATAAATGATCAGGAAATTAAGTGATGTGTGCGTAGCTTAATGTTTGTTTAAGTGGAAGAAGACTTAAAGAATATTTAGATGTGTTGGAAACAAGTTTTATAAAATGTGCTATATATTTACAGTGGATTAGATTGGAAGACAATATAAGAGGGGCAATAATGATGGAAAGCATAGCCCATCATATCGACTGAAATGGGAAAACAAACTTTCAAATTTGGACTATTATTCAATTATTGTTTGTACATACATCGATCTCAGAGAGTACACTTATAAATAGCATCCGCAATACAAACACGAGCGACAGACCTCAGTCTATATTTAACACTGCAGCTTGGTTTATGGAGTCTTGAGTCTTGCTGTAGTTCTCAAACTTTTCATGGAACCCCCAAAATAATGTATCAAATCATGTTGAAGTCAGTGTTGTGTTGCTAATTAATAAATGATGGTGGTGTAACGTAGTTTCACTTAAAATGTGTCAAACTATCCCCCCCAGACCACTTATGTAATATCCCACCTGGACTTTGCTAAAATACTCTTGATGCGCTCCACTTTGCGGTGACGTTCCTCCACCTCCTCTGGACTCAGTGGATCTTCAGGCTCTGACTCCACGTACCGTTCTGGGATCAATACTTTCTGCGGCTTAGACAACTGCACAGAACCAGACAATAGAATTAACAAAGTTGTGTGGAACATAGATATTTTTAGACAGACTTGATACAGTTCATTACTTATGTAGGCTTGCAGCTATTGTGTCTTTCTTTGAGCGTATGTGTACTATAGGAATCAATCATAAATATTGGACAGTGATTTAAAATTTAATTTGTATCAATAATGTATCAACACAATTGATAATATTACAAACACAGACCATAATTTCTGTGTCCTTAAAATAATGTTAATAAAGCTGACCATTCCCACAAAAATGTATAAGAGAAATACATAAGACTACAGAAATGAGAAGCATTGATTTCACTTTTTAGTCCTCAGCATTAGTTTTCTTTGGTAAATGTCTCACCTCTTTACTTAAATCCAGGTCGTACTCTAGTGGCTCTATGTCCCCCTGCTGCGTGGCTGCGGTTCTAAACGTCAGCCATTCGTCCGAGTGGGAGCGTGGTCTTTCCTTGTGCTCCGGGGGTCTCTCTTCCCCCTGGACGCTGCGCACACACTCCTCCCCCTGCACGGCCCGCTCCAGCAGCTGCAAGTCAAAGTCCTGCTCTCTTTTCAACTGGACAACGCACAAGAGAAAAGAAGACTGTGAAACTAATTACAGTACGCTGCCATCGCCTCATCACGGCAAACTGCTTTTTCACACATTGTTTTCATGTAATAAGCACACTTGTTATCACCCGAATCTGGATTTTTCTTAAGTGGCAGAACAGGTGTTGGTATGTGCGTAAGTGTCAAAAGAGAATAGGGTGGAGCATGCATAGATATTGAGTATGCATGCTGCTGAGATTTGTACAAAAAAAATCACTGCATGCTCTAAACATAGTGAGGACAAACACGTACACACAAACAGGACAGGCCCACACCCCTGAGCTGGCTATAAATACAGATGCAAGAAACATACACGGACAAAGAAGACCCCACATCACCATTGAACATGAAAGAAAAACATGGCAATATGCTTTCCTTAGAAATTATTTATTCATTTATAGTTACATTCACATAAAATGGTGCTATTAAATGAAAATGCAAAACACTGAGCATTCTTATGTGATCCCTGCTTTCTTGAGAAATCCATACGTAATCAATCCAATGCTTTCATATCAGAAATGCAAACAAAAAAGTGCTTGATCTTTTACTTTAATCTTTCCTCTTCAGTGCAAAATGGTTTTGATGAGTAAATTCAGCTCGGATTGCCCAGTGAGTATTTTAGTAGAAAATGAGCGGGAAGTCAAACGTGCATGCACAATTTAATGGCCAGTTAGAGACAGCACAGCAGGAGGTGAATTGTGGTTTTGTACAACACATTAATGAGAAATATACTGTAAGTCCACACATAAAACAGTGCAATAACGAACACAGAGAAGATTAGTGAGTGAGGCGTGACATGGACAATCAGTAGTGTCAGTTACAGCGAGAATGAAAGGGGCGGAGGAGCAAAGGCACGAAAGGCATTGAGACACATGATTTGCTTTCTGCATCGTTAAAGCTGGGGTACCTAACTTTTCTTGTTTCATAAATAGTATTATGTTTTTTTTCCAAAGAACTGAAATGTTGAACGATGATCAAATCAGACCACAACATGCAGTCTTCATCTGATTCATCTTAATAGAAAACATCTTCATCTGTGTCCTCTTTAGTTGTACTTCCTGTTTCCTGTTTACATGCCCCGCCCTCATGTGTATCACCTGTGTCTCGTTAGTTGTTAGTGTGTTTAAACCCTGTGTGTTCCTTCACTTCTTGTTCCATCATTGTCCTTCTTTGTCTGTTTTAGTTCTTGTCCTTGATTCCTGTTTGGTTACTTTTTGTGTCTTCACTGGAATGTTAGAATTTTTATTAAAGCCATTATTTTTGCAGTTCTGCGTTTTGGGTTAATTTCTGATCTAAAAATGAGACAGACGCATAGACTGTATATATTAATGGACGTAGTCACGCCTATCTCCGCCGTTCTAACTAATGGGCCAAAAATTGGGATCTCATGAAGTTATTCAGCCCCGGGGGCTGGAAAATGTGAAAAAAACGCATCTGCGCATGCGTCAGTCGGCACGAGCTCCAATCATTTAAACAAGTGACTTCAAAAATTCACAGCTAGAGTGGTCCAAAAAAATTCACTCCCCTCAGCATTGACACACATGTGGAACGGAGCTTTTGGCCAAGAGCCAACTTTTGGACCTTCCTGTTAGGGTATTTGAGAGGTAAGAAGATGCTATATGTTAGCATTGGCCCGGGGTGGTATTGCAAGCATGTCAGCGCACGTCATTTTGGCCACTTTTGAGCCGGGATCCCCCCCACACTGGACAGACGCTAAATTTAAATGCATGGGAAATCTAACAATAATGTTTAGTCTAGTCTAGTCTATATATGAATATTTAGTCCATGGTGAAAACTAGTGATTGAACCAAACCGTTTTAAGAGCGAGGAAAGCGTTAGATGTTTATTTTAGTGTGATTTGAGAGTTAAGTATCCCAGCTTTAAGTCGTTATTGAAAACACACTTCACAATCCATGATTACAGTAAAACACATAATCAAAGTCTAAGTGTTTAAGCTTTCACTACATTGACAAAACAAGCATCAATTCCTGTTGCTACTCGGTTAGTCTACTCCACTTCACCATTTCATGCAAGAAAACAAAGTCAAACTATGGGAACCAAACGCATGCATCCGTAGTTCACCACTGGCTTGGCTTGGTTGGCATGCATCTTAGTGTGTGTTGTAAGTCTAGTAACATACTGATCCCAGGTCTGCAGAGAGGGGGCGTAGGGACGAAGATCGGGAGGAAGAGGGGCCGTTGCGGTCTCCGTGACTCAGGGTGCGTTTGCGTTGGCGGACGAGGGCCTTCTGATGCCTCTTCATCCTCTCCAGCTGCTCATCTGCACTCATCCTCCCTCTCGGCTGCTGCAGCGTGCCGTCCCCGGAGTACAGCCGCTCCAAGGCACTTTTGGGTCTCTCCTGAGAGCAGCGAGAGCAGAGAGAGCAGGGTTGGTGTAGCAGGAAAAATGTGCATCAAAGACAAAAAAAATATAGGGTAAATGTATAGAATATCTACATGAGGTAGACACGAAAACAGAAGACATATGCTTTTTGGGGTATTTAGTGTAAGACTAAATCACACATAGATCATTGATTTACAGTGTGTTTACTTTGTGCCACAATATTGATATGATATGGTTTAACCCCTAATGACTCCGACTCATTCAATCTGGAGAGACTCGAACAGACCAAGCATAGTAGTAGAATTGTATGTTGATTGGCAGTAATCTGACACTACATAATTTACACATATGACACTGAGGACAATATTTTCAAGATTGCATTTATTGTGTTGTACAGAATGTGGTTAGAATTTGGTGCTTAGACCCCGGCAGAGCACTGCACGATTGCAGAAGGGGAAAGAGATTAAGAGATGAAATCCCCCGGGACCTAGACCCTGGTGGTTGTAGCTAGGAGAAGGATGAAGGAGCTGGCCTAGAACAAGGCGGAGATGGGGAGGAGGGGGATTACGGCGTGATATGAAGCTGATGCGTTAGTGCCTGATTGTTGCAGGTGAGGCACAGCGCAGCTGAGTATGATTGACTGATTGCTGTTGCTGTGGGCAACAGCAGGAGGACTTTGAGCTGTATGAGCTTGGTTCTCCTGTCTTTCATTCTGAATTTGTGCTTAAGCTTAATTTTTCTCAAACGCCTGTAACATTCTGTAAAAATTCAAACTAAATCTGTTTGACTATAAACCTGTGGCAGGCCAACTTGTGAAGCTGGGGCCCTGTAGTTTTGACTTATCATGACTCATTTCCTCCAATTAAAAGTAGGAACAATCTCAGCACAGAGCAAGGTCAAACTCCAAAGTCTGGCCAAATCAATATAAAAAGAGGGTATAGGGTCTCGGAGTAAGGTCAATAGACTGTAGAATGACCAACTGATGGAATTGTCTCAGAACATTAAATTCAAAGACCTAAAGCAAAAAGGTCCAGGTGGAATACACTTAAAATCTCTATTAACCCTTTTTCAAATTTTATTTTATTTGTCAGTCCAGAGTTCATCCCTGAATGTTTGATTCGACTGGAAACCCTAACCCCCTTTGCCTGAAGCCCCCACTAAACGACCATGGCAGGATCAGTGAGGGGCTGGTGCTCTGTGAATTGGTGCTCTGGTTGCCACACCCTGACCCAGAAATGGATTAAGGGGATGACAATGGATGGATGGACATCTTTATTTGATCATTCACAAGGAGCTTGATGTTATATTTTATCAAATGGAATGAGTAAATTCCCCATCTGTGGTACATAGAATCTTTAAGGAGTTGCTTTGGGAGGTCTGTGGATCTCGCTTGGACTGCTACACCTGCGCCCGGCAGCAGAAAAGGCAAAATGAAATGAATGGCTGGATGAAGGTTCATTCATTTCTTGTTCAAAACTGCAGAACTGATATGTTTCTTTAACCAACATTGATTCTCCTGGAGTCTAAATGTGTTAATAATAATTGTAATCCAAGATTCTACAACCCACTAAAAGTCTGTAATCCAGGAGCAAAGAATTACTCAATGATTAAATTCACCTTTACCAAAAATGCTATATTGGGAGTGTAAATTAACATGCATTTCTTTATATTTGTCTTGGTCAATTGAACTTTAGGACAATCTTGTGAGACCGTTCTTTGATTGTGCACAAGATCTAACGTCAGAATAGTTATAAAGGGCACTGTCTCCAATATTGGCAGTGGAATATACACATTTTTATTAGAAGTATTTTCCCCCAATGTCTTCATATCATATCACAAATTCACATCTTTCCTTCAATCTGAACTCATTTCCTTTCATTTTCCTCCAATCCTCACCTTCACACCGACAGCTGATGCTGCTCTTCGAAGAGTCACATATGAAGAGATGCTCGAAGACTGATTTATCCTAAAAGAGGAGGAAGCCGCTCCTGAGGGAAACCAGCATTACATTAAATTGTGGGAGGACATAAGACGGGAGAGTAAACGTAAATAAACACGGCAAATGAATTCTTACCCCTGCCTGGTAAGGTCTGGTAGCCGCCGTCGTGTCCTGTTGAAATGGCGCTGTCCAAACTCGAGCCATCTCCAGCTCCCATCAGCTCAGGGTCACTCAGGAAGGGTCGGAGCTCCACCTGGAAGAGATAAGATAAGATAGACTTTATTGATCTCACAATGGAGAAATTGACAACAGTGTGTATTTGAATTCGTAATGCTGAAATGACGGTGTAAAAAGCACTCGTGGGCATTACCTTCCCGTCTCCGTTTGGGAAGTGGCCGGTCTCTCTGTCCCGCTTGCGTTCGTCAGACTGCCGCTTCAGGCCGCGCACAGAAGTGTGGCGGATCACTGTAGTTTCTTTGGGCAGCGGAGGCACGGCGGGCGGCTGCTCATTGGGACTGTAGAGCTGAGGTAGAGGAGGCCGGGGGGGCACATCATCTTCACCCTAATATCAGAGTCAAAGATATAAGAATTTGTGATTACATACTGATTTCATTTATTCATTTCTAGTTTAAATTGTATAGAGCAGAACCTGTCCTCAAAAGGGCTGGTGTGGCTGAAGTTTCTAACCTAATCAGGAGCCCTTTCTGGAATCTGTTTGACACCCCTGGTACAGAGGGACCCCCAAAGGTTGTCCACAAAACAAGTAAATGTACCAATATTTGATTTTTTTATAACTTATATTGTATATGTTTTGGTAAAATTTAAAGGTAAACTATTAGATATTTTTCAGTATGAAGTGCAATATTTTTAGGAGGGAGGTTCCCTCAAAATAGTTAAAGGGAGACGTGGGTGCTCCAGTCTTTGGGAGCTTTAGGGAAAATAGTGGAAACCTTTGTTAAAATGCTTTAGAGGCTTGATGTACTGTATATCACAAATAAAACTTATCCATGGCTGACCAGCAATCTCATGAAATTGATCACAATATCAAAATATATAAACACAAAGTTAAGATGTTTTATTGATGGTGTTTCTTTCAGCTGAAACCACTATGCAGTGGATAGAAGTAACCAGGTATTGTGTCTTCAAACTTGTGAATATTTACTCCTACAAGGATTTTGAGTAAGGAACCAGAATCTCTGCCCACTTCACCGCCATTGTAAAAGACAAAAACAAAAAGGTCTTGATGATTGTTTATTTCTGTTTTTATACTAACTAACAATGCTGTTTGCCACACTAACAGGCAAGTATTCAATGAAAGTCAAGCAGAAATTTTGCATGGATGTATAAATGTGTTTGTCAATAATCCCAAGCCTTTCACTTACCCATTGAAGCCCCATGGTGGGAGTTATCGAGTACAATGGCTGCTCCACACTGAGGCTGGAGGAGAGGGAGGGGGTGTGGCCAGCGGGGGTGATCTGCTGCTGGGACGGTCTCATCTCCATAGCAGACGGGCTCCCAGACACACAAGGCACTGATGACGCCGGCACTGAAGGCACAAATTTCCTCTCTGGGGGAAATACAAGAGCACGTGTGCATACAATGAGCCGTGCTTCCTCCTCCCGTGGGAAATGTTAGAGCTGTATATTATTAACAGCTTTAATCTAATGTTACAACAGCATGTATGACATAATGCTGGTCTAGTTTACACACAGGGAGAAATCTCACCAGGGTTGGTTATGGAGGAGATAGTAACTTTGTAGTTGGTTTTATTTTCACTTAGGCCAGCGATGACGTCCTCGATCCTCCACAGCTCTTTCCTGAGCTGCACCTTTTCTTGCTGCTCACAGTAACAAACAAATACACGTATGATGAGCCTAATGTTGTCAATCAATTATGTATATGTGTGTATATGTGTCTGCTATTTTGTTTTGTGAATTTGTGTTTGGAATAAAACATCCTGAATAATAAAGATAAATCCCCATATACATGACCATGACCTATAACATAACCTAATCTTCTTAAAAATACAACTGAATTAAGTCAAAATTTGCTGTTTTAAATGTTTCACAGAATCCCTAACATGTCACTCACAAGAAATAATACAGTAATTTTGGCATGAGCCTGACCTGAGTGAGATCACTGCGGGTCATCTGTCCCTGCAGAGCCATCTTGAGCCAGTCTACGTCCCTCTCCAATTGATTGTACTCAGTCCAGGCATTCACCATCTCCTGAGGAACACATGGAACTTTGAATATTCACATGTTTAGCATACTAAAATAATATATTTATATAATTTTAAATAAACATTACTGTTGATGCTTTGGATATTTCTGCTCTAATATGAACCACATCTTCTTGCAGTAATTTCTGCTGGTAGGCAATCTTCTCTGCGTGTGCGGGCTGCTCTCGATACTGCTCCATCTGCTGGTGAGACACGTCCAGTACAGTCTCCAACTTGTCCTGAAAGGGAAGGAGAGAAGTCACACAAAATCTAATATATCACAGTTTTTCCCCCCAAAATGAGTAAATAATATGTTTGAATGATGATACTGTAATGCTTTTACCTTATCTTCTTTCAGGGTACGTATCCTGGATTCACACTCTTGTAAAATCTTGTCCTGTTCACACAACCGACTAAGTTTAACCTAAAGAAAACATATATTCAACACAGAAAATCAAACACTGACGATGGAAGCATTCGTTCAAAAACTTCTGTGAAGTTTGCATCTATTTATCACATGATTTATATGCTTTTCATGCAGCCGCTGTATCTTCCACAAACCCAGTTAAGGCGAGCTTATTGTCTATTCTCTGTACACTAAATATGTCAGCAAGTTTCCGCTATGCAAAAAGCCCCCGAGGAATCCATCTCAACAGCTCAGTGGGAGATATCAAAAGACTGCATACTGTCTAGTTTGAAGGCGAGATCGGGTAATCCCCATTATGAGTAATCATAATCAAAAATCCACATTTTCAAATTCATTTTTTGCACAGAGAATGTTTATTGAGAGTGACAGATTTGTTTTTCCAGAAATGGGTTATATGTTTACGAAAACAACATAAGACTGCTTAGTTCACAGTCTCTCTCACACAGTGTATTTTTCATCAGATCTATTTATCATTCTGTTCAATTAATTATTAAGCTGTTTTTATTTTGCTGCTGTATATTGTTGTTTTTTAATTGCATGAAATATTCATTGTTCAGACAAATTTACTGGCAATTTCTTATAAATTGTTAAAGTGCAACAATGCTAATGATGAAAAGCCAGGACATTCATCTTATTTACCTCCGTTCAACAGAAAACAAAGACTGAGCGGAGCAGGACTCGGCTAATCAAACTGAAAAATTAAACAGCCTGACATCTTAAAACTCCCATTCCATGTATTTTTCTCTTTAAATTGCGGGTAGGAAAATAAAAGCTGTGGTTGAAGCGCTCACTATGCTCTGTGCAGGGCGGTCCCCATAGTGTTGCAATGTACATAAGTTCCCTTCACTTGGTAGCATCTGTTTACAAAACTTAAGCGCAAACATGCAAACACACAGAACAGGCAAACTCAAGGCAAGTGGTCCTCTGTAGTCAAGAAAGAAAAGGAAATAAATAAATAAACTGCATGCTGTTTGTCCAAAATGTTCCTTTAAATTACCCCCCAATTGTAATTATTCACTTACATCAGCATCACTCTCTGCTATTCTCACAGGCCTTGACGCTCTCTCTTTTTTAAGGCTTTCACATCCAGTAACCTGCAATCCCCAACAGCCAGAGATGACATCAAATATTTAAAACCACAACAGCTGAAGAGAAAAAACACGCGATTGTACAAAAGTTTCAACTGTCAAGCGCTTGCGTCACGAGACAGGGGAAGAATGCAATGGTTGGTTCAAAATGCAGGCAAAAATAAAAAAATGCCGAAGATGCAGCGATAGTAGTTTCATGGTATAAAACGTAAAGGGATGGGATGAATTACATTAGTTTGGTGCAATAATTAGTAATGTGCTCTTCTACTGCAAGTTAATAACACACACAGTGATGAGCAGAGCCACGCCCTGCATGTACAAAACACACAGAGCAGTTCAGACATAGGGGGACACCACCTATTTTACATAATACCAATTAACATGGCCTGGGAAACACTGCAGGCCTGTGAGAACATACACAACTCTACATTATTCTGTGGTTCTGGAGGATGAGAAAGAGAAACTCAACCCATATCACTTGGATGGCTATGTGGTCACTTGAAATGTTATTGGTTTGAGTGGGAACTTACAAAAACATGGAGAACTGGTGTGAAAGTTAACAAAATATAATATAGTGGCTTTTTTCTAGGGTTTCTTTCAAACAAACACACATACATGGACACGTATTCACGCACACTCGAACATACCTGCACACAAATACAAGCCCACACACAAACACACACACACACACACTATGACACACGTACACACCATAGACTGTATATATTAACACGCACGCACACACACATAGCATAATAGACATGCCTTTACGTCAACGCACATCCGCATACACGGACACACACTGACATGCACACACATAGACATACACGCGAACACACATGCACATAACAATACACACACATCCATCAACGCACACGGACATACAAACACACTCTGAGACACACACAAACACACATGCACACACATCCACGCACATAAACGAACATGGACACGCCCACACACTGACACACACAGACATACACACACACACACACACACACAGTAGGTGACTGACAGTTGGTGGATGTCATTCTTTGCCGCATGCTTCACATTAATTTATTTTTTCAATCACGTCTCAGGGATGCAAAATATTTCATTCAAAAATAAAAGTGAAATATCTGTATTCACTTTTCAAGCACACTGTCCTTACATTCCAACAGCCACCAAAACTTGGAGTGGAGTTTTTGTGTGTTAAAAAGATCGTCGGGTCAAGACATTGAATCTGTTTTAAAATAGGAACAGTAAGGAAAGGTATGACAGACAAGATGTTAACAGCATCTCTTTGATGGGTTTGAAAAGACACATGAATGCAGCACAAAATCATTCATGACAAGCATCAACCTGCGTTATGGGCACATTACAGTAACACAAAGTAGTAAAGTCAAAGCCACAATAGAATTTAGAGATGCACGATTTTGGCTAAATATCTAATTGTGATATTTCTGACCAACATGAGATTTTCAACATGCTGTTTAAAAAGTCTGAAAATAAAAACTTCTAGACAAGACACATTTGTACACAATTCCCACACATTTCAGAGACTGTTCTAACCTATAGTACAACCATTTTATCTACAGGCTACGTAGAGATAGTTTTCAAGATGTTGAATAAAATTTATTCTGTCGTTTATATTTTCCCTCTTAATTATTTTCGTCTGAACACATTTGGACGATTTTTGGCGTAAATTGTAGTTTTGTTAATTGTGACCCTAACGTTTTTATTTGGATTCTATTGTGGTTAATCGTGCAGCCCCAATGGAATTATTCATGAAAGTGTTTAATCCTCAAATATGAAAACACATTTAGTGGACAAAAGACAGATGGACAAAAGAAATGTGTGAAGTTTAGTTGAGCCCACCTTCAGGTCCAGATACTCCAGGTCCTTCTTGAGTTGTATGTATGTGTCATCCGCCTTAAACAAGCAGTAAAAAACATCACATGAATGATTATTGAAAAACATAATGTTCTTGACAATATTCTAAGCCACCGGCTCAGAGACATGGGGTTATGCTGTTTGCATCCAAATGGGTTTTAAATTGTCATGATATTTATTCAATGTTGTATAAATAGCATGTTCAAACTATGTTGATTAAAATAATTTTATCAACAAACTGGGTGGAGAAACCATTCCTGTGTATCAATCAATCTGGAACCAAAACATTACTCCACCTGCAGTCTGATGGTAATGGAATATTGTCTCCAATTAAGCGATATACACATGTCATCACACGCAGGAATGTTGATAAAATGTCCATTGGCTATTTTGGGTTTAATAAAAAAAATACCAAGTGGTTAAATATTTCACATTTCGCCAACATGCTTTTATGACAACTGCAGGACAGCCATGAAAGCGAGCAGGCTGCACACACATGAAGGCAGGGGGCGTGGAAGGTTTGGGCTCAGGACATGGAGACCATGGATCACTGGGGCAGGATGTGGTGAAAGGTTGAGCCCCTGACCTGTAAGGTGGTGCCTAACAGGCTGTTGTGCTGGTGGTGCTGTAGGCGAGCAAAAGCCTCACTGGGGCTGTGCACACTGGCCAGCTGGGCCTGGTGCCTCCGGAGCTGAATGAGCAGCAGCGTCAGCTCCTCGGGCTGCAGCCAAGCCCACGTTCAGAGCCAGAGGGCAGTGAGAACGCACAAGGAGGAGAGGAAACACTTAAGAACCAGATGGGCATTATCAATGAGAGAGCAAAGTGCTCTACTAATACAGTGAGTCATTTACAAAGTCATAAATATACAGTATGTTTATGAAACTCCCAAACTACATATTAAAGCTCATGAAATAACACTGAAGGATTAAAGGTAAGTTGGTTCATAAATCAATCATAGGGAGTGTGTACCGACAATGCCACTGGCTGAAGATTTTTTTGTCAATAGAAGAAGCAGAAACAGAAGCTTAAGAAAAAAAAAACATATTGAACAAAATGTTTCCTCTGGTTTAAAATATATATTTGAAAGGAAAAGAATGGATCAACAACATACCGTTTTCCCGTGCAGACTAGGAGCACTGACTGTGTGTGTGATATATCCCATGGCAGGCATAGACCGTCTCTCTATCTGGGAGGTCTGTGAAGAAAGTAGACTCATCACCATGTTATTACAAATATACAAATATATAACATTGAATCAAATAGAATGTCTAATTCACAAACACTGAGCAATCTTCACAAGTGTGCAGCCAGGGAGAGGCCACTCTATCACACTCAGCCCAAGTTTAAACATTGCCTCAAAGTATGAAAACTAACTTGACTACACAGCAGATTTATTTTCTCATGTATTCCTTTCTTACTTTTATCTAAAACAAGGTGTGCCCCGAGTTTCTGACGCTACAGGGCTTAGAACATTTGACGTTTTTGCTTAACACACAGAATTAGCAAAAACCAAGCCCACTACCAAACCTTAAAAGGACACAAACAACAAGAGATTTAATTAACTACACATAAATTATACTAAACCTGCTTTCTTAAAATAACATTTGTTTGCTACCAGCAAGAGCAGCACTGTAAGCCATTCCCTTTGAGAATCCCAAGCCACTATTTTTTGCTGTATAATAGGTTTTTTATTTAAATGCGAGATCAGAAGAAAGAGACTGCTGCTGATGGTTGAGATACAGAGATGTTTATAGGGTGCTGAGATGCTCTGGGCAGTTGGAATAGCTGCTAATAAAATATACTTTTTAATGATATTCCAGAGGGAGTTACTATACACCAATAGGCTATTGCTTAAGATTGCTGTGCAGGGTGCAACAAAGTCATGATGATATGTACTGGACTAAATTTAGTTATCTTAATGCGGCTTTCGAGGGACTAAAGCAAAGTCACTCTGGTTCTTTGTTAGAAGAGGTTTTTTCTGCAGAGCTCCACACTTGGATTTGATTTTACAGTTGTAATTAGCAACACTAGCATCTGCAACACTTTGTTTACTTGTGTACGACCGATGGGCTGGTTTTGAGGCTTGTGTGTGTTGGCGTATGTGGCGACGGTTTGGACAGAGTGCTTTTCTCATGTGGAGGGTGTGGTACGGAGACAGCACAGGGTGTGGATGACAGCAGCGTCTCCTGCGGCAACACTGGTGCTGTCTGAATGCTCCTCTGAATGCGCTAAAGTCTTTACTCAGACATGTTTGTACCACCTGTGGGGCGGCGGAGGGCGTTGACTGTGTGAATCTGTAAATGTTTCACATGAGCATCAAAGTGAAAGCTGTTGGGAAGTTTGAGCGTTCCATGGAAAATGTCCCCATCTTCCCATGGTTTTCTTTGTGGGCTCACGTTACCCTCACATATCAGGGCAGTAAACAAATGACATGAAAAAGATGCACTGATGCACCTATAGTTTGACCACCACAAGATATATCTACAGGGTGTGACACTTATCTTGTCATAACTCATGTTCCAGCTTTCATCACAATGATAGTTGTGTGCAAGTCCAAGTTCAGAAATGGGGTCTAATTAAATGTTGCTTAATGATCTACTCATTTGAAAATGTGACCTCTGTAGCTCACAATGTCATGCAGCTTATGTGATGCAGGATTTTGGACGAAATTCATTGCAATTTTCTGCACAAACATTAGATTAAATTTGAGAATTATTTTTCAAAAGTAAGAGCATTTACTTTTGATATACTGAATTATTAAACTCATACTATTATTGATAATAATGCATTGGTTATTTATAGCACTATTTTGGACACTTAGAATTCATATAGCATTATTCATTCACTCCATACACAGCGCTAATATATATATATATATATATATATATATATATATATACACATATACATACACATACACATACATATACATATACACGGGACACACTCTCAATGTAAAACAAGCGTAACCTAAAGTCGGTAAACTTTTCCTATGGGTAAACTTATTCTGTGAGTAACAAGTAGAGGTCGACCGATATGGGATTTCTGTGGCTGATGGCCAAAAAAATGCCAAAAGGATTTGATTCAGCAGGATTAGGTGCTAATGCACTAGTGAGCCATTAGGATATTTTTAAAGGTTATTACATAATGCCTTGATGAATCCTATATACTGTAGCTGATATATACACATCAGCTATAGAAGATTGTCCCCAATAGCCACATATCTTTCTAAAAAGGACAAATTAATTATAATAAACATAAATCTTACCTGTGAAATATGGCAAAGATGGCCCGGTGAGCTTGATCTTGTGCTGTCTTGTGCATGTTCATCCAAAGGCCTAACGGAGCGTCTGTCTGAGGGCGTGTGGGGCCTACGTGGGGATAGAGGCTTAAAGTTTGTGGGTATAGATGGTGGGACTTCACAGGGCGAAGGAGGTACAGAAATGGACCTGGGCATCTCCAGGGTCACCCTAAAAGCGGACGAGTCGGTGAAGTTGGGCCCGGTGTAGATGGGAGCAGTGGGGCTTCCATGGCGAAACTGTTGCCGCTGCTGCCACTCGTACAACTGCCACACCATGCCCTCCTTGGTGGCCATGCGCTCGTCCGTGGACATGCGGAAGTGGCTGAGTCTGTCGTGGGCGTACTTGTAGTCACTGGGCAGATTGGACGCTGTGGGGGGGGAGCAGCTGCCCGACGGGAGGCGAGGGGACTTTGGCAAAGACTGGTACGCAGAATCCATTGTGCTGGTTTTTGGCTTCAAAGGAGGTGTACGGCGGGGAAGTTGGTACTCATTAGAAGTGGCACTAGAGGACAGAAAAGTCAAATAAGAAGAAATAATAGAGAAACATACAGAAAACTACATTTCAGTCTAATATCCCAACAGCTGTGAAGCACCTTAACGGCACAGAGCACTTGCATAACTGCTGAATCTACTTAAACTAGCTGCGTAATATCAGCTCTTGCAATCTTCGATAGTATTTGTGATTTTACTGTGTCTGCTTGTTTGTAAAGGTGTACTTGCTGCAAAACCAATTTCCCCTAATGGAACAACAAAGAGAACTTTAATTAAAAAAAACATTTATATATTACAATTATGTACAATAATGTTACTCCACAGGGCGGCTTAAGTTTTGTCAAGAGTTGACTTTCACTGTGATTGGCTATTTTCTACCTGCACTCAATCTCGATCTTCAAGTTTTGTGTGTGAACAGATGTACTGTTGTGTTGTTGGGTCAATGTTTTATGAACTGTGAAGCACTTGTAATGTTTTTGCATCAAAAGGACTCTAAAAATAAAGATGAATTGCTTGAACTACTATGCACAATTACTTAAGTTGGGAGAAAAATAATATTGTATGTATAATGTATATATTTTTGTGTTTGAAAAAAATTACAATGAACCAACATATTGGTCCAAGTACTTTTGCGTTCAATGCATTTTCTATATTTGAAGGGAAATGGTTTTTTTCATTTCTTATAAGACATCTAACAAATAATAACCAGATTTGGGAACTAGAAAATGCAATAATAATTTTTTTTTGATGTTGTATTTAATACACTTCGGCGTCAATCGATTACCCGGAAGTGAAACGAGTTTGTCTACTTCAGCCCTATTCGCACGGGATTAGTATATTACCTGTGGACCCCTGGTAATTTGTGATAATCGCGGAGGACGTCTGAGATCTTGCAGTACATTCACACGGGATAAGCAATGTCTGTAAATTACTATATTTTCACTGACATCTCACATAACGGGTCACTCCGCTTCACGCAGCCCATAGAGACTCGCATCTGATCACAGCAGCCACAGAGACCATGAAGACAAACACATACATGTGGATTTTACTGCTCTACAGTGCTGTATGTAATGTTTAACAATGCTGTTTGTACGGACTAGCCATGAACGCACCACATACTCTGCTGACAAACGTGGGAGCCGACAAGCAGTAACGACTGCATCAACACGTCTGTACTGTATTATGACAGAGAGCAAAGTAAACGTACAAACACAACCCATCAGTCTGATCATTCTATGTCAGTGAACACATTACACTGTCCTCTACACTTCTCCATAGACCTCAGCGAGACAGCATCAGCCACGACTCTGCAGCTGTGAACACAGCCGCGATACGTGACTCCTCTGCTCATTGACAAAAAACTACGCAGAAAGTAGAGAAAGCAGCAATAGCGATCACAATCACTAACATGCAGATTCACAGGATAAATACAGGAAGTCATTTGCAGCGGAATTATTACTTTACAAACTAAAGACATGGCGCATTCGCACAGGACTTAAGATCTCAGACGTGATTATCACTAATTACCAGGGGTCCACTACAGTCTATGGGTAATACTAATCCCGGGACTGAAGTAAACAAACAAAATGTATTAAATGCACAATAAAAAAGGTTAATTATCACATTTCATAGTTCCCAAATCTGGTTATTACAATATACATGTCTTATAAGAAATGAAAAAAAAACAAAATGGTCATTTTTGTATATTGCCATGTTCCTGAAAATGCAAAATAGCCTTTGTGTTAAAAATGTTTTAAACGCAAAAGTACATGGACCCATATTGATCTGATATAAAATTAAGGATTAATTAATTTAAGAAAGCAAATAAAGATGGAAAATAATAAGAAATAAACAAACATCTCCAAAAATGTTATATTGTAAAACTTCATCATTCCACTTTTTGTTGTTGTATTGTGTTGTACATTAAAGATGTAACCGTGTAATTGTGAAACAGGGCCTCACAAGGTTGTTAAACATTTGGCTAGAATTACAACATCAATCCTACTTGTTTTACTCATTCAGTCATGTATATTATTGAAATGTATAGATAAAACGATTACAAATAAGTTTGCGGCAAATCTATATATAAGAATTTCTAGGAATTGCAATACATATAGAAGCCACTAGATGGAGACTGTAAAATGCATGATAAGCGCACATTTCCACTCTCACCTCTTTATGGGATCTCCTTTCTGTACTTTGACCCAATGCTCCACTTGGGCCAGTGCGTTTTTCCTCTGCACATGTTTGTCAGTGTCTGTCCGTGTCACAAAACCCCTTTGGTAGACGATATTTCCGTTTTGTTCTGGAGGTAGATTGACTTGCAGCACACTGGGGCCGTTCTTCTGCGGATTCGTTTCAGGGGACAGTCTCTCCTCTGGGTCTGCGTGAGTGGTTCTGGGCTGGACCTCAATGCCGTACCTCACCTCGTCTCTGTGGGCTAATCTAACGCTGTGGTCCACTTCTCTGTCCGCCTTACAGGGGCTTTCAGTGTGAGTGGAGTTGATGAGACTACTGCTGCTTTGAGGGACGGCTGGCTGTGTGGCCTTCTCTGACTTTCCCCCATCCCTTAAAAAAACAAAAGAGGTCAATTAGATTGTGCTGTTTTAACATCATGGCCAGGGGACTAAAGATAATGGCTAATGCTGGATTTTTACTGATGTTTAATCTTGTATATTATTACAATGTACGTAAGTAAGTAAGTAAGTTAGTAAGTTTTTATTTATATACCGCCTTTTCACTGCAGATCTGAGTCTCAAAGCGGTTTACAATTGTTAATTTTGGGCATTTGTCTCTCACTCCACACAGAGATGGGAGCGGGGTCGCCAGTACAGGAGGCATATGCCAGAACTATTGGACATATTTTTAGTGGTAGGGGAAACCGGAGTACCCGGAGGAAACCTACGCAGACACGGGGAGAACATGCAAACTCCACTCAGAAAGGCCCTGGTCCGACCGGGATTCGAACCCAGGACCTTCTTGCTGAGAGGCGAGAGTGCTATCCACTCAGCCACCGTGCCGCGACCGTACGTTTCTTTTCAAATACTCAATAACTCAATAACTAAATTTCAACAAATGTAAAATCAAGTATAAGTGCTTCAGGCTTCCAGAAATTAAAAAGAGAAGTGCTCTTCAATCATTGTCAAAACTTTTTCTCTAAAAGTCCATTATTAAAATACTAACTAATGTAATCCATCATCTTGTTAATTTAACAAAATACTTTTTTCCAGTGTTGTTGGCTGTCAGTGTGTTCAGTTCCTCCTGGAAAGAGTACTGTATCAAATTGGCCTTTAGGTGGCATTCTTGTGCAGAGAAAGCTGCTTACACTTAGCTGATCTTTAGTGTTGAATCAATACTGCGATAAAAAAGTGCCTCTAGCAATGTCCTGCATCTTTATGACTGGTCCAAGTCCTTTTGCGTCTCCAAAAAGCCAGAACTTATCCCAGAGAACTGATCTATCAATGAGCTGTGCGTGTGAGTGTCGTGGCTTTGTCATAAACTGATGGATGTGACAGCTGAGCTCTTTACCATTTAAATAAGGCCCGAGCGTCACGCTGCTGCACGTGGAGAGTGCTCAGTAGAGTGACACCAACCTCTTTATTGTGTGACTCTGCTGCATCAGCGCAGCCTGGTTCATGGCCCGGATCCAGCCATTCATGTCCTCCTGTGTGTCCGCACTGAAGAAATATGTCCGCATCCCGCAGTGTTCCGCCTGTGAGCCAATCACAGAGTTCTTATTGTAAATGTAGGAGCGCATTCCCGTATGGCTCGCCTATCAGAGGGACAAAAAAAGAGAGAAGGCAACAAATGAGCAAACTGAGCGGGAAGTAAAACCCTGTCCCTGCATCAGGACTGACAGCTGTCCACTTTGGAGGGAAACAAGAACATATTCTGTAAACTGAAGAAAGAGGATGCTGATTCCAAACTGCTTTTCAGAAAAGATTTTGAGCCAACCATAGTAATATTCACATCCAAAATCACACCATAATTAAAAACTCCAAATGAAAATAGATACATCTTAAAAAAACAAGACTTTTTCATTTCTGTAAAGCAGTTGAAATATAAAAAATTAGTGCCATTATGCATTTTTATCTTAATTCTCTAAAATTAAGTTTGAAAACATGTACGCACCAGAGAAAGTGAAAGTGATAAGATCCGATACAAATACTATGAAATCGATGAAGAATGTGGTGAGAAACATATCCTTGTGTTTCCAGCTCACATGAAATGAGAAAAGTGAAATGCAGCAAACGACACAAACACCAAACAAGGTGCATCTGTAGTGTAATTATTATCAATTCAATACATTTAATCATTTTGTTGAAAATTGTGCTTCACTTCAGTAATTTGTCAAGGAAGTCTCACTTTAATTCTTCTCTGCTGTGCTCTGCATTTAACATGATGTCATAGGGGATCAATGCTTAATGCACATTTAGAGAAATGCACATTCAGCAAAATAAATGGAATGGCGATGGCAAACCACTGATGACACGGAGATAAAATCAAATACCTATTCATGCAAGACAGAGAGCCTGTGTAACTCAGGACAGCCACCTGCCGACAAGTACTCACGCCCCCGTGCACACACAGCCGGTCACAATGGAAGCAATTGACCAACACAGAATGAGAGAAAGATGAGAGAAATTATGCCCAAAAGAAACAACAGAAGTCATCATGGACTGGACAATAAACGATGAGCCCGAGAGCAAATGAGTGGCATAAGTGAAGGGTCATCATCCATACCATTCATTGGACAAAGTTAGTATACTGTATATAAAGCTATATTATATTTGAGAGAGGTGTAAAAAAAATATTTCCTAAGCGGTTCATTTGATAAAATAAACTTGAAGTTGTGGTAATACTTTCATTCATTTTAAAAGAAAGTTATATTCATATATTTACAAACATATTCTCAACTATAAATACAATTTATCAGCTCCAAATAGAGTGGGAAGAAGAAAATCACTCCCAACTTTTTTATGGATACAATTATTGAACATTGAAGATACAAAATAGTTTCAGCATTGTCAGCTTGGTTTAAATATTTGTACATCATAACCTCATAAAAGTAGATAAAAGTTACTTAAGAGGTTATGCAGAGGACTCTCTTTACCTAACCTTACAATCCCTCCCCCGCGAGCAGAGGGAGGAGATGTTCAAGTGCTGCTGAATACGGCAAATGCATAATTAATATTCCCAGCAGCAGAATTAACATACAAAATCCATTGTTGTATCCTGGAGATAAAAGAGCATTTGCACAGTCTCATTCATAGATATTTTCTCCGCCGCAGACACACAGAGATCTGAACACAATATGAAAAGTGAAGTACAAAGGGCTGGAGAGGAGGGATTGCAGCAGAATGCCCCGAAGCTGCAGTGGTGCATCAAACATTCAGGCACTATTGTTCTTAGCTACAGGCTCAGAAGGAGGTTCTGGGAATGCTGTAACCACCAGACAGACATCCTCCCCATGCCTATTGGCAGTATCCACAAAAGAAAGATGAAAAAGACAGAAAAAAAACATGAAAGAAAAGTATATTGAGCTCTTAAACGAACAAATGGCAGAGAATAGACATCCATCATGTTCTATTACCCGATTCCACTTATGAACTACCGCAATTCCCCCAGTATCAGAAAGCACATGCTCCACTGCAATAAGAAAAGTACGATTTGTCCCCACACTAAATGCACGGACTTCTTCTGACAGCGTTCATTCATCAAATTGACATGTGGTTCACTGCAGAACAAAACTCAACAACGTTTTACTCGCAATAATTACTAACATTCTAATCAACGCACATAATTAAACATGCAGCCCCCTAAAACTGTCATGTTATCTTTGCAATACAACATTTGACTGGTCTCTGTATTCTATTAATATCTATTATTGTCAAGAGATCCTCACAGGCAGCAGGTGATTTATTGTGATTCCAGCTGACAGCGATGAGGTCGGATACAACCCAAACAATTATCAATAAATGACGAGCCTCACATCCATTGTCAGTGACGTGCATGCCTACAGGCAATTTAAAATTAATTATCCAAGTAGACTTCTAATTCCTTTGGGGCTTTTCCTTCTCGGGTTGTTTCAGCACATCATCTGATATTCTGCCTGCACTGTTTTCTAGTTAACTCTATCCAGGATATAAACAAGACAATCTATACTCATTTAAATGATCCATGTTGTCACTTTAGAGTTATGGTGTGTACCCTTTCCTACAGATACAAACAATAATAATAAAATAATGATTTTTAGTACACTGACTATACATCCATTATCCAATATCCTAAAACAACAAAAGAGTTTTCAAATGACAATTGACTAAAGTAAAAACATACACTGATAATTGAGTCATAATACTCTGTGCTAATAGAAGTGTGACTGAGGCTGTTGTGTCCTTAGGCAACACACTTCATCCACATTTAGCTAATTATGAGTATGTATGGTGTGCGTGAATGAGTGGTGGTGGTCTAAGGGTCCGATTTCTAAGATTGGCAGCCTCCATCAGTCTACCGCAGGGCAGCTGTGACTATAGTGGTAACTCAACACCACTGTATACAGAGTGAATGAATACTTAGAATAATGCACATTATTTTTACTTTAATGACCACCAAAGAGGCTTCACATGGCCTTATTCATTCAATCCATACACAGAGTGGTGGTAAACTAGCACAGACTGGTGGCAGTGATGCAACTCATCTCTGCCATCGTTCCCCAATCACCGCCTGCATTCACGCACACACCAGACTCAAACTAGAATCAAGTACCTTAACCGGCAGCTTACAATCAGTGGGGGCGGGTCCCGGCTCAAAAGTGGCCAAAATGACGTTCGATGACATGCTTGCAATACCACCCCGGGCCGATGGGGGTGGACTCGGAATAAGAATTAGCCAATGCTAACATATAGCATTGGCAGACCTCTCGAAAACGTCTTTACAGGATGGTCCAAAAGTTGGCTCTTGGCCCAAAGCTCCGTTCCACATGTGTGTCAATGCTGAGGGGGGTGAACACTCTAGTTTACTCGCTGTGAATTTTTGAAGTCACTCGTTCAAATGAATGGAGCTTGCGCCGGCTGACGCATGCGCAGATGCCTTTTTTCACAATTTTCTTGTGGGCGGGACCACACGCGGCCATTTTGGATAGCTCCAGTAGAGCACATTTAGGCAGAGATAGGCATGACTACGTCCGTTAATATATACAGTCTATGCTTACAGCCAGCCCACTGTTGCACCTTTTGTCTCCCATCACAGTACTAACCAGGCCCTTCCCTGCTTAGCTTTTTAAATCTGACGGCTTACACATGCAGGTGGCAATTAGATCTTAGAAGCTGGGTTTTTGAGGGATTACAATGCCATGAATAATTCCCCGCACAGTGTTTTTTCATAAATCTTTATATAAAACCAAGGCGTATTTATACTCCAGTCCAAAGTGCTGTAAATTGATTTATAATAATAATTTCACACATTGGTACCTTAAAAGCATATTTGCGGTTTATATGGTCTTCTTGTTCAACTGGTGATATGACGTAGCTGGGCAGAGGGATGCTCCCCAACACCGTCTCCTCCCGACTGTCTGCAAAAGGCACACCACAAGTTAGAGTGCAGCAATAATGGCGTTGTGAGGACAGGAGGAAAATTAACCAGTCGTAATTAATGGGAATCTCCTGCTTGGATGGGGCTCTGTGGCAGCATGGGGCAGAAGGTGGCATGTGGCTTATTTATTATTTAGCATGATTGATGAAAAGATGAGCGGGCTGCTACACTAAGACACAAACCAATTTAACAACCAAATAACAAGAGTGGAGCTGCATGGACTGAGAGCTTTAGAGAAGTAATTACAAGCTATCACTAATCTACAATTATAACATTGCCTCTGTGGTGTTTATAATAGGTTCTGCTTGTTGAATTTAGAGAAGCCATTCATTTTATTTCTGCCAGTTAAAGCCAAACCGTGTGCACTTTCCATACACTTACCTTTGTAATAAAACAAGCAGAAGTCTGACAAAACAAACCACTTCCTTTTCCACAGTCGCATACCAGAGCTGTCCTGCAGAGAAGGGAAAAGCACAGGAACATAGATTTAGAAAGCCACCTCACAGATCCATCAATATTATTCATTTAGATTTCAGGCTCCAGCCAAAATGTAGAAACTTATTGTAACACCATTCGATCATAAAACCAATAATAACTATGTCAAGCGTAACATTTGTAAAGGATGTCACACTGAGGAGCAAAAAATATCCAGTCCATCATGTATCTTGATAGACACATATTACTCTTATTATGAAGCAATTACCGCTTTTTAAGAAGCATTCACTGTGTATATTGTGTGCTCCTTGTGTGCTCTTACTACTGTCCTGAGTCAATGCAAGAGGCTCTTTGAATCTGACTGGCCTTGCGGATTTTGAGTTATTTTAATCCACTCAAAAACATTTCGATCAGAGAGCTCTCAGCATGTAGCTTTTATTTATATTGCTAATGCTCAACAGTTACTTCCATCACTTTTGATTTTAATACCATTCGTTATTTTAATTTATTTTATTGTTTTGTTAGGCATTTTTACTTGCCTTGTGTAGGAACTGTGCTGTATAAATAAACTTGCTTTGCCATTAAAATCACACTGCCAAAAAACTGTATTTTCTGTACTTGATATCCAAGGACTTCTGTTCAGGCGCTAGCACCACCTGCTGCTGTAGAAAGATAAAGTATGCTTGATTTGCCTGCTGCAAAGAGCTGTAACTAATTTCTCCACTGTGGGACAAATAAAGGATCTCTTAATCTTAATCTCATGGGGTAAGACCAGGACACTAAGAGATTTCCTGTCTTATTTTGTTAATTTTGGCTACATAGGAAAAAACATACATATACACAATTCCCACAATTTCCTGTGTTACAACCCTTTTTTCCCCAACAAAAACATTTTAAAGTCACGTCAAATACGTATAAATGCTTGAATTAAGACTTTTTATTATTCCTTGCTGACCTGAGCTTTTTGACCTGGGTTAAGACAGTCTATGGTTAAGAATTTAAGTTAGATGATCTCATTTGTAATGGGAAAGTAATGCTGTGACGACTAATCGTCATTACAATAATTTTGAGGTTTTTTAGTTTAAGTCTCTTTAATTTGTATCCTGCTTCGACCAATATTAGTGTCGGTCAGATTATAAATAATTGCTTACAATCTTTATCTTTGCTATTTTGTAAACCACAACTGGTTGTTATTGTTTCCAACAACACCTGGATAAATGCTAAAAGACACACTCAATCCCCTCAGTCGACCTTTCCTAACAAAGCAATAACCTCGGCCTAGTTGAATAGGAGTTTATCTATTTGTGGAATCTAAATGAAAGCACCTGTACCTGTTTATAAAGCCAGCCTCTCACCACCACCGGGATGTTCAGATTTCTTTTAATAGAATGATCCCTTTTGCCGAAACTGTGCACTTTTCCACTGGCTCTGGAGCCCTGCTGGAAACAAAGAGGTTACAAATCAGTAACATCACTGGTATGTGCTGACACATTTGTCATCAATTGATCTTCTATTTGCTCTGTAGAGATAAAGAATACCAACATTATTCCATGGAATGTTTTTGCATCCCAAGACTGCATTAAAGTTACATTCTGTTTTAAGTCTTTTCTGTGTTCTCCTTTTATGGTGGAACATGAAAATAATCCATATTGTTTCAAACAGACAGCTTTGTATTTTTTTCATAACAAAGTCAAAAAGATGCAATTACGTTATAAAACCTTACATTTTCAAACCGATTTAGAAGAGGTTTGTGTAACAATAATAGCATGGCTAAGAATAGTGTCCTTGATGTTAAAGCACATATTTCTTTTATTTGTGACTGAGTAGATGTACATGTGCATGTGTACATGTGTGATGCTGGTAATGAGCTGTGGTTTTAACAAAAAAGGTATGAGGCTAAATGTGTGTGTCTGAATCAGAGAGTGTGTTGTATTGCAATGTTATATCTATTGGATTGTACATTACTGTGTCCATGTATTTTATTTATGTAACCAGGGACTGCAGCTGTTTAGCTATAATCTGGTGCAGAACATATCTGTCTTTGATCTTAATGTCTCTGAACATTGTCCCTTTAAAATATTACTAAACTAAACTAAACTAAAAGATTACATAACTATATACTAGCCAAAACGTACAGTTTATAAAGGTATATAAACCCTTTTCTTAACCATCTTTAATCATTCAGATGTGTAAATAAACTCAGGATCATGGATTACAAAAGTATTTCAGTATTTTGGATTTTCAATAAGGTCAGGTGGAATTTAGTCCAACTGCACAGTAGGACACCATATCTGGAATTACACACAACTTCCACCTTGTCCTCTCTTTCATCTCTGCAGGAAATCACAGTGTAGGAATGACAATCTAGGGCCATTCCACCTAAATAGAGCGACTGTCAGAGGCAAATGGACAATATTAGCACTAACTATTCTAACAAAGAGGTGCCAAACAGAAAGCACAGAGAGGAGGCCAAAGGAACACTATTTAACACGCCTCCTCCACGTGCAGAGCAGAAAGAGCAGCCATATAATATAATTCAATAAGGCCCCTCACCTTTGAACTTGAAGGGCCATCCAGTGGAGTGGTCACAGGTTTGGTCGACTCTGTGACCATAGCGGGAGATCTGTGATTGGCCACTGACTTGGACATGCGCGACTCAATTCTTCAAAAAAACAAAACAAAAAATAAATAAGTTAAAAAATCGCATTAAATGCGAACAAATAAAAAATCCCATTTGTAATCTATCCCATGGTCAGGAGAACACTGGGAGAATTACCCGGAGACATTGGACTGGAGGGACTATGTTAGCTGGACAGAACTGCTTGGGTAGACTCCTTCTGCTGAGACAGGTGCTACTTGATGGGGCAACAGACAAGAGGAAGAAAAAGGACAGATCTCTGAGCCACAGGAAGTCAGTGCAGAGAGCTGAGCACAAGACTAATGTAGTGCCCCCTGCATGTCGGATGCGGCTGTAAAGTGCCAAACTGTTGTTGAGTCCTAAGGCAAGACTTCACCCACATTGTCTAGTATGAGGGGCCCATATTAGTCACCTCACTTCCATCAGTTCGCCCCAGGGCAGCTGTGGCTACAGATGTATTGTATCATGACTGTGTATGGAGTGAATGAATACTGCCAAGAGAACCATCGTTGGGTGTCATGAAAAGCTCTAAAGCACCATAGTGACCTTTGCTACTCACAGGGAACATAAAGTATACCTTAGCCTGGGTATATATTCTATAAACAACTATTTTCGACACAATGACTTACATCAGAAATATAAAAATAGTATTTTCTGAGTCACTTTTTTCTTCACTCTAAATAATCAGAAAAGCAGTCTTAACCTGATACCAGGGGCCCCATCAATCTTACTATCAGGCTATCTTTGGGTATCATACTCTAGACTCAGTTCTCTTGACATAAAAGTATCTCTTGCAATAAAAAATAAATCATGTGGAACCAAAAGTACAGTCGTGCAGCTGTATGCAGCTTGTGCTATAGGCGGTCAGAGACAAATACTAAAGGATTAACCACAGAATACATCACAGAAACAGAAAACATTAAGGTCATGTTGTAAAACATAATTATATTTCGCAATAAGTACAAAACCTATTCTGAGGTTTTAGAAGTTTCATGAATTGATCTTAACCAAGAATGTAGCACTGTGGCATTCCATGAAGCGTTAACATAGTTATTTATTAACGTAAAAACAAGGTTACATGGTTTTCACAGGGTCTTCATAGAAACTTACAAAACAAAACAGAACAGCCCCCAAAGAGAACGTATTATGTATTCAAGTATAAGACAGAGATGATTTTATATAACTTCCAAAAAACAATCATATAAAATAGGTATGAAAATGTGTTTGATGAAGATGGGAATAGAACTCTCCCCCCTGGACTGCCACCTTAACGTGGTGGGGGAGTTTGAGTACTCGGGTGATCCTGGGAGCTATGCTGTCTGGGGCTTCATGCCCCTGGTAGGGTCTCCCATGGCAGACAGGTCTCAGGTGACGAGTCAGACGAAGCGCAGTCCACAACCCGTCATGGATCGCACAAAAAAAGAACAAGTGACGTCGCCCGGCATGGCGCAGCCGGGGCCCCACCCTGGAGCCAGGCCTGGGGTCGGGGCCCGAAAGCGGGCGCCTGGTGGCCGGGCCTTAGCCCACGGGGCCCGGCCGGGCTCAGCCCGAAAGGACGACGTGGGCAGTCCCTCCTGTGGGCCCACCACCCGCAGAGGGGTCCGTGGCGGCTCGGTGCAGAGAGGACTGGGCAGCAGTCGAAGGCGGAGACCTCGGCGACCCAGTCCGCACACCCAACATCTAGCTCTTGGGACGTGGAACGTCACCTCACTGGGGGGGAAGGAGCCCGAGCTTGTGGGGGAGGTTGAGAGGTACCGACTAGAGATAGTCGGCCTCACCTCCACACACAGCTTGGGCTCTGGAACCCAACTCCTTGAGAGGGGTTGGACGCTCCACTTTTCTGGTGTATCTCGCGGGGAGAGGCGGCGAGCTGGGGTGGCCATACTCATTGCCCCCCATCTCAGCCGCCACGTGTTGGAGTTCTCCCCGGTGAATGAGAAGGTCGTGTCCCTCCGCCTTCGGGTGGGGGACAAGTCTCTCACTGTTGTGACGGCCTACGGGCCTAACAGCAGTGCAGAGTACTCGGCCTTCTTGGAGTCCTTGGGAGGGGTACTGGACAGTGCACCGCCCGGGGACTCCGTCATTCTCCTGGGGGACTTTAACGCCCATGTGGGAAGCGCCAGTGACACTTGGAGAGGGGTGATCGGGAAGAACGGCCCCCCTGATCTGAACCCGAGTGGTGTTCAGTTGTTGGACTTCTGTGCTAGTCACGGTTTGTCCATCACGAACACCATGTTTGAGCACAAGGGTGTCCACCAGTGCACGTGGCACCAGGACACCCTAGGCCGGAGGTCGATGATCGACTTTGTTGTCGTATCATCTGACCTTCGGCCGCGTGTTTCGGACACTCGGGTAAAGAGAGGGGCAGAGCTGTCAACCGATCACCACCTGGTTGTGAGTTGGATCCGCTGGCAGGGGAGGAAGCCGGTCAGACCTGGCAGACCCAAGCGTGTAGTGAGGGTTTGCTGGGAACGTCTCGCTGAGACCCCTGTCAGACGGACTTTCAACTCACACCTCCGGGAGAGCTTCTCCCAGGTCCCGGCGGAGGAGGGGGATATTGAGTCTGAGTGGACCATGTTCTCTTCCTCTATCGCCGATGCGGCGGCTCGTAGCTGTGGTCGCAAGGTCTCTGGTGCTGGTCCCGGCGGCAACCCCCGAACCCGGTGGTGGACACCGGCAGTAAGGGATGCCGTCAGGCTGAAGAAGGAGTCCTATCGAGCCATGCTGGTTCGGGGGACTCCTGAGGCAGCTGTCCAGTACCGGCAGGCCAAGCGTGCCGCGGCCCGGGCCGTTGCAGAGGCAAAAACCCGGGACTGGGAGGAGTTCGGAGAGTCCATGGAGCATGACTATCGGTCGGCCTCGAAGAGATTCTGGCAAACTGTCCGGCGCCTCAGGAGGGGGAAGCAGTTCTTTGCCAACACCGTGTACGGTGCGGGGGGTGAGCTGCTGACCTCGACCGGGGATATTGTCGGACGGTGGAAGGAATACTTCGAGGTTCTCCTCAATCCCCCCGTCACGTCCTCCGCTCCGGAGGCAGAGGCTGAGGATGTTGGGGCGGATACTTCTGTCACCCTGGCAGAGGTCACCAAGGTGGTTGGCAGCCTCCTTGGTGGCAAGGCGCCGGGAGTGGATGAGATCCGTCCTGACTATCTATAGCCTAGCGTACATCGGACTGGCAACTGATTATATCCGTCGCCTCTGAGTTGCTGCCCCGCACACATCGACAATCTGGCGAAAACGGGCAACTGAGTCGCAGGCCAGTCTCTTGAATAACAGCGCGTACATCGACAGCAACTGGCCTCAACCACAGTGTGTTTTCTGACATAAACTGTTGCAGGCTCGCAATACACGCAATACACACACGTTGTCGGAGCGGCGCATGGAGCGCGCACATCGGGGCAACTGAGGACAACTAGTTGCCGAAAAGTAGAACACGGGCAACTGACTGGAACTGGAGACCGACTGATCATCTCCAGTTGTAAGAGCGCGCACATCGACCGATTTCGGCAACTGATCATCTCCCACCATCTCCTCTCAGTTGCCAAAAGCCGCCTTGCAACTAGTTGTCCCCAGTTTCTCTGTCGATGTACGCTAGGCTTAAAGTCTCTGGATGTTGTAGGACTGTCTTGGCTGACACGTCTCTGCAACATCGCGTGGCGATCGGGGGCGGTGCCAATGGAGTGGCAGACCGGGGTGGTGGTTCCTCTCTACAAGAAGGGGGACCGGAGGGTGTGTTCCAATTATCGTGGGATCACACTCCTCAGCCTCCCTGGTAAGGTTTACTCCAAGGTACTGGAGAGGAGGTTACGGCCGATGGTCGAATCTCGGATTCAGGAGGAGCAGTGTGGTTTTCGTCCCGGCCGCGGAACACTGGACCAGCTCTACACTCTCCATCGGATACTCGAGGGTTCATGGGAGTTCGCCCAACCTGTCCACATGTGCTTTGTGGATTTGGGAGAAGGCGTTCGACCGTGTTCCCCGGGGTGTCCTTTGGGGGGTCCTCCGTGAGTACGGGGTCCGGGGTCCTCTGCTGAGGGCCGTCCGGTCCCTGTATGACCGGAGCCAGAGCTGCGTGCGCATTGCCGGCAGTAAGTCAGACCTGTTCCCTGTGCACGTTGGCCTCCGCCAGGGCTGCCCTTTGTCACCGGTTCTGTTCACTGTATTCATGGACAGAATTTCTAGGCGCAGCCAAGGGTCGGAGGGGGTCCGGTTCGGGGACCACAGGATTTCATCTCTGCTGTTTGCAGACGATGTTGTCCTGTTGGCTCCAACAAACCAGGACCTACAACATGCACTGGGACGGTTTGCAGCCGAGTGTGAAGCGGCTGGGATGAGAATCAGCACCTCCAAATCTGAGGCCATGGTGCTCGACCGGAAAAAGGTGCCCTGCCCTCTTCAGGTGGGTGGAGAGGCCCTTCCTCAAGTGGAGGAGTTCAAGTATCTCGGGGTCTTGTTCACGAGTGAGGGAAGGATGGAGCGTGAGATTGACAGGCGGATCGGTGCAGCGTGCGCAGTGATGCGGTCGCTGTATCGGACCGTTGTGGTGAAGAGGGAGAGCTGAGCCGAAAGGCAAAGCTCTCAATTTACCGGTCAATCTTCGTTCCCTCCCTCACCTATGGTCATGAGCTTTGGGTAATGACCGAAAGAACAAGATCGCGGATACAAGCGGTCGAAATGAGCTTCCTCCGCAGAGTGGCTGGGCGCTCCCTTAGAGATAGGGTGAGGAGCTCAGTCACACGGGAGGAGCTCGGAGTAGAGCCGCTGCTACTCCACGTCGAGAGGAACCAGTTGAGGTGGCTCGGGCATCTGTTCCGGATGCCTCCTGGACGCCTCCCTGGGGAGGTTTTCCGGGCACGTCCCACCGGGAGGAGGCCCCGGGGAAGACCCAGGACACGCTGGAGGGACTATGTCTCTCAGCTGGCCTGGGAACGCCTTGGAGTCCCCCCGGACGAGCTGGAGGAGGTGTGTGTGGATAGGGAAGTCTGGGCGTCTCTGCTTAGACTGCTGCCCCCGCGACCCGGCAACGGATGAAGCGGAAGAAAATGGATGGATGGATGGGAATAGAACTATTCTTTCAAGCAGGGTGGTCTCATTAGCTGGTGCAAGTTCTGTAAACATTTTCATTTCCTGTAAATTATTCTTGTTCAAATTTGCTAACCTCCGGTTTGATCTGCAAAGGTGCTCTGCAGGGCTTAATTCTGCTGACCGTGCAGATTGCTGCAATGAAACAAGGTCACTCTTCACGTTCAAGCTGATCTTGAGTTGTTTTTTCCTTTTGGTAAAGAAGTGTCATTTCATTGTAAGATGTTTGACGCGTGATACAATGACCGAGCTCCCAAACAAATTACTGACAGAACGTCTGTGCCATCCACAAGAGCTTGTGCTGATACAAGAGGCAATTTACATCACACCGTGTGCCAAGACTAAACCCAGAATGTCAGCAGAACAGAGAGGATCTCACATTGGAACAAAACATACATTATCTGCAGTGTCCCTGTGAGGTGGGACAACGGCCAGGGGTTTTACAGGATGTCTCTGTCCAATCAAAGGGAGCGGGCTGTTTTATGTGAACTCATGGTGTTTACCACCACTGTCATTGAAATGTTGCCTGGGAGATTTGTTGAGGCATGTGTTGAAGAGGAGATATATTTTTCATCTCATTTTGAAAAGGGAAGAAAGAGAATGGTCTCTATCACCTCTTGTATTTCTGTTTAGGTGGAAATGAGGACATGTTTTTTAATCCTTTCAGGCCGTTGCGGCACAGATGGAGCACTGAAGGATTGATAATGGTGTGATAATCAATAATGGAGTCACAGCCTTGAGGCTGCTGAAGTATAGACTGATGGAAATTAGTCTGGAGACCAAGCTCATCCGCAGCTTTGTCCTGATCTGACACTGCGGCTCCTGGGACTCCTGGTCTCATATTCAGTGACACACAAAAGAGGCTAGGCACTTCCTGTTGTTTTATGCAATATAATTTTGGTGCCAGAAAACTGACTTCTAATTTAAACCAGGTTTTAAACACTATTTCAAAGGAATCAACCTATTATAAAAATGACCTATTATGATAATGTTGAAATGAAATGTCCTCAAACGGCCAGGATAAGTTTATGTGAGTACAAGGCCACTCAGCAGAACCATGCCTTCTAATGCACCATTCCTTGTTTGGCTGGAAACCAAGAGTTGATGCAGCACTTTAACAATTAATAACACAAAATGACAGTTTCTTTAAGAAAAATAAGAACTTATATCTCGGTGTGGTCCATGTGGTTGTCAGAGCAAGAGTAAAGTGCAATCAATTGAAATGGTCCCGTTTGTGTCTTGTGATGAAGTGATACTTGATTCACCGAAAGCTGTGAGGAGGATCAATTGCAACAAACATTACAATGGCATTTATCTATCAGGACAGACATACTTCACTGGCACATATAATCCATAATCTAATTTGGTGAGAATAACAGATGAGATAAATTGCAATTAGGTTTAAATAGCTTTAGTAATCACCCGAGCGCATATGTCTTTCAACATACTTCTGCACACAGAGGAATCCTGCGGCGCCTGTGATCTTCTTTCAGCAGCAGCTTAAATGTGATCTAATACCTGCTCTGGTTTATGGAGCTCTAAACCTGCCATGAAGCTGTGGCAAATTTGCAGGATGAGGCTCAACAGAGTATGCAGTTGTGGCAAAATAATAACAATGTATGATGCAAACACGTGAAAATCCACTGATATGTTAATTTGAAAAAGAATAAAGCAGAGAGAAATTGTGCCATTTTAACACTCAGAGCTATTTCAACACATGAATTAGCAATTGACCAAAATGTGCATTGAGTTTGTTATGGTTATGCTGTATGAATATAGACACAGTTGCTGGAAAGTCAAGCCTTTTTTTGAATCTGCTACTTGTCTAGTATTATGTTAAAGATAAAGTTTTTTATCTATTATCTCAGAAAGTGGTGCTACCAGTCCAAGTATCCATCCATCCATCCATTTTCTACCCTTTGAACCATTTCTGGGTCAGGGGGGTGGCAATCAGAGATGCCACCCAAGTCTCATAGCACCAGCCCCTCACTGACCCTCTGCAGGTGGTGAGTCCACAGGAGGACGGCTGCTCTCTGAGTGTGAGCATAGCCTTGATCTTTCAGTGGGGGCTTTGGGCAAAGTGGGGTTAAGCGTCTTGCCCAAGGACACAACGACAGCAGTCATCAGTGGGAGTCGGTGGAGAAGGTGTAGAGGTGGGAAATGAACCCACGACCTTCAGGCCTGAAGGCCAATGCTCTACCAACTGAGCTACTGTCGCAGTAATCACGGGTATTATTCTCTAAATATTTACCTACTTTCACCCACTCCTTATCAAACGTGTTAAAAATTCACAGGATGTTTTGGTACTAATTTCCCATATACATGCATGTTTGAAATGAAACAAATAAAACATTTTGAGTGCTCATTTTATTCTTTCTGTTCAACAATGTACACTGCAAACAAAGAATGCATATAGTGAACAGTGCTAACGTCATCCATAGTTATAATGCGGAAAAGGCTGATAGGAGCAACCTCAGACAGGCTTTTTGAGCGGAAATGTGGAGCTAAAGTCTGGAGTGTGCGTGAATGGTTGGTGTCGCTTCTGTCATGGCGCCCCAGGGCAGTTGTGGCTAGACTAACTGTTTATCACCACCGTGTATGGAGTGAATGAATAATGACATGTGAGGCATTGAGTGTCCAAAAAAGCCCTATATTTAACTGATGCATTATATTTATTTTTATTATTATTATTATTATTATTAATAATAATAATGCATCGGTTTTATATAGCGCTTTTTTGGACACTCAAAGACGCTTTACATGTCATTATTCTTTCACTCCATACACGGTGGTGATAAACTACAACTGTAGCCACAGCTGCCCTGGGGCACACTGACAGAAGCGAGGCAACCAGTATGTGCCATCGGCCCCTCCGACCACCACCAACCATTCACACACACACCAGACTCATTCTAGGCAATGGGGGTGAAGTGTCTTGCCTAAGGACACAACGGCAGTTTGGCACTTTACAGCCGCAGCCGCCCCACTGTGGCTGGTGTTCCCAGAGGTTAAGTGTCTTGCCAAGGACACAACGTGAGAGTATTATAAGACCTGTAGACCTACTGTACAATTATTGTCCCTTGGCTATATCTCTTTGGTAGAAGAGGCTCAAAATAATCTCTTTTGATAATAAAGGTTGCCGACCACCCCGGACAGCAAAGTGGCTGCTTTGATGGATGGCAGCTTTGATATGGACGCAGCTTAAGGCAGTAGTCATTAGCATAAACTCTATTAGTACATTAACTCTGCTATGTGTATAGAATGTACAGCTAATAACATGAGCCAAGTCGCTTCTGACAGCCATAAAAGGACATCCAGTCACAGTAAATACATCTCTCCTCCCTCACCATTTTGTGTCCCTAATTAAAAGTTAATTGAAAGTCGACTGTTGCAGCTGAAAGCCCTCCCTCTAATGATCCGCATCGAGAGACGTGGTGACGGGCTATTTTTAGACTCCTGTGACCTTGGATATTTTTGAAACATGCAGATATACGTATAAGTACTCACCTGTCCTGTAGCGTGTACTCTGTGTTTTCAGGGGAGATCTGTCCGGTCACTGGATGTCGAAACGTTGTCGCCCTCACGTTGTGGCTTTGGAACATGAACGAGATAAGGGAGAGAAGAAAACAACCAAGGGAAAACACCAAATTAGAGCCATTAATCATATTTGTGCCTGTGGTGTTGCTATCCCACCAATGTACACAGTAAATGACACCATCCATCAAGTATCTCCAGCTTACAAGTTATCAAAATACAGGTCAGTTAATGTTATGAGCTATAAAGCCACATATGTTCTCTTCCAAAGTTTACCAAGACATATTTATTTCTACGTTGAGGTCATTTATTTCTTTAACTATGGGGATAAACCGTCTTCTCTCTCCACACAGAACAAGTCACCTTCAAATTTATAGTTAAAGCATTGACTTTCTGGGCACTTGGTTTGGTAATAAAAGCTATGTGCCACAGCTGAGGAGTAAAGAGCAGTTGGGTCAAGCCTTTGGTCATTTATAACAATCTTCTCTAATGTTATATACTGGACTGCCCTGCCCATTGGCTCGAACAGAAGATTGAGCGATTAACCTCTGGATGTCATTTCCAAGTCACATGTTTGACACGTTTAACCGGATTGGGCGATCTCTGGGTATTTGGTGGTCATTTTAGTCCAGTAAGATATTGTAGAATTAACAGATAATATTTCAGATCAGAATTGCAGTTGATTATATTGATTTTATGATTGTTTTACCGATACATTGAATATTTGCCATTGATCTTAACCTCTTTTAATGATCATTTATTTTATTTATCAGGAAAGTTCCCCTGAGATTGCAGAATCTTTCCCTGGGGGGTCCTTGCCCAAAAGAGAGGGATATTACAAAGCTATTTTTTCTCATGAAGACAACCTGTTATTCCTTATTTGACCAGCAAACAAAGAACCCAAAATGCAATTAGTAATAATTGATACAAAATATAATAATCTGTAGGTCTGAATCAGTCTACTGTTCTGTTTCAATCTGAGCTAAACTTTTTTCAGAAAAAAAAACTACCAGTATCGAAACCCTTCCACACTCATATTCAATAGTAGTTATTATTTGTTCTAAATATCTTCATCATGTGAAAATGTAAACACACAACAGAGGCAAGAAAAGAGTTAGACAAATCCTTCCGCACAGAAAATACCAGATGTTTCTGTATCCATTTTTCCTCGTCTCTTCTTAAAAATAAACCTATTTCCATCAACCCACTGCCCTCTCTAAATACAGTCACTGCTAACTAGTGCATTAGCACTAGCACCAATCCCCTGCTTGTTGTTTGAGTCAAATCCATCTGGCATGCCTTCAAAAATAATTGGCCTTTAAATAGGGTAGCCGACCGCATAAAAACCATTGTACACAATATGTAATGTCTATAAAAGCATCTATGATAAGTCTTTGGAAAAATGAATAAAAACTGTGCCAAAAACAGTACATTGCTGGGACCCAAAGTGAAGGTTCCAGCCCTACCCTAACAATGCGCTGCAAGAATAATTCTTGAAATACTTTGATCAGACAATTGGCTTGAGAATAAGAACTCAATTTGAGCTTGTCCTACCCATCACAGAATAACTTTATTGTCAGTTACATAATCATGACAGAAGTGTGTCTTTGGCTTGCACATTCATATACATCACAGCACAAGGACACAGAATGAAAAAAAAAAAGACTGACTCAGCTCCCCGATGGCTCAGGGCACATAGGCATTTCTCTACACGTTTTCCTGAGCACAAGGAAGTCTAAATCTGCCAGTCTAAATATGGAATAGTGTAAGGCTGTCATCATCTATGATCTTATATCTTCGAAAGGTTTGTGATTTTACAGCGTGAGTGAGTTAAGCAACAATCTTACTCAAGAGACAAAATTACGTGAGAAAGAAAATCTTGAGCCTTGAGCGTTAATTAATAAATGCATAGTATAATCTACATATTTATAAGATACACTGTTTTGCAAATATTCAAAAATATTCACCAGAGCTCACTTGTCTATTTCACAAAAGTGGCTGGTAAAAAGGCTCAGATCTGACTTTCTTGTTTAGGTTTAACAGGAGATCTCAAACTAACGCACGACATCAGTAATCATTTACAGTTATCCACTGAGACGGTAACCAAGGCAATGTCATCAGAGAATGTAATCAATGTTCTGTGTATGAGTATTTCCACCAAGCAACGCTCTGCATCCTTGTCAGTGAAAAGTATAACTCAAATCCTGTTGTTTCAATTGAGATACTATTGCACTGTATAGATTAGATTAAATATAACAATATTTAGCCAATTTGAATGCATTTAAGATTAAAACTAAGAGAAATGTGCAAATACTGCTCAATAGATGATATTAGCTCCATGAGCTTGCCAATGATACATGGCCACAATATGATGCAAACATGAACAGCGCATACATGTGCCCTGTTAATGGGCACATACAGTATATACTGTATATATGTGCCCATGAACAGGGCATAACATTCATACATTTATGTGCCCATGAACAGGGCATAACATTCATAAATATATGTTCCCATGAACAGGGCATAACATACAAGCAAGAATCTTCACAGATTGACAGACTCTCGGACAAAAGGTCACACAGTACATCTTTATGAATAGTACAGCTATTTCAACCATCAAGGTAATGTAAAAGTCTAAGGTGAACCCACCCAACAGCAGCTGAGTGTGACACTGCACATTGTAGAGTTTAGAGCGAGGGCAGAGCAGATTTATGTGTTGATGTTTCCACCACAGTTCAGACAGCACCCTGAGAATAAATGGTGACAAGCAAGCAAGGTATTCAGGGGTCACAGTGCCACCATGGCATCAACATATTTCTCTATTTGACTTATCTGAAGTTCCATATATTTGTTTTGTTTTCTTTTATTTCAAAATGTTGATTCTAAAGTTTTACCACTAGGGTTTTTCTGAGGCCGACGCCAATGCTAGTGTTTTCAGTTTGACTGGCCTATTAAAAATCTATTTTTGCCTTTTTGCAGATAATGACAAAAGGTAATGCTAGAAAGATAGTTAGCAACTAGGAAGTGAAGAGAAGGAGCGGCACAATTGACACAATATTTTATATGAGTAACTTTTGTTTAAAGCTCATCTTTTAAATTTGTGTCTTTAGTGTTTTACTTTTTTTATTGTTATGGACGTTTTTTGAACACATTTTTGTTTCTCTGTCAACTGATCAACACAGATTTTCATTTAATTTAAATTCATTATCAATTATAATTCATACTAATAATGGGGATTGTTGTTTGTTTTGGTTGTAAACCAGTTCGTCACAAGGCTCAACAGAGCGCTGCACAAGCCTCCAAGTTAATTAACATACATTCTTCTGTGAGCCTTTTGTTTTGGCCACATTACTTCTGAACTATTTGTCATGGTATTTGCAGCATCCTCTGTGCCTTATAATGCCCGAACGATGCGGCACAGAAGACATGTTTGTTTGCAGAAAAGTAGCTTTCATCAACGCTTTTGACAAGAGCGTCCCAGATGGGAAATGAACAGTCCTGCTGCAGACGAGCTTGCTGCCTTTTAGAGGAGATAATGGATTTGGGGAAACAGCTTGGTTGGCACTACCAGTCAGCACTTATGTTGTTTAAGTGTACAGTAACCATGAGCTATGAGAGTTACATAATTGTGAATAAATCATGTATTGTCATTAGGCGAGGCATGCACTGAAATTAAAAGTGGGGAGAGCTCATAAAGTAAGTAAGGTGGATCATCCATCAAGCTTTTCTGCTGTCAAAAGGTTTTCTTAGCAAGGACAAAATGAAATATTGCAACTCAAATACGTTTTTAGACATTTTTTATCACTCACCTTGACTACCAGTTAATTTAGGAGGATAAAAATTGCAATTATAGACAAAGTACTATAATAATAATAATAATAATAATAATAATAATGATAATAATAATAATAGTAAACATAATAATGCATCGGTTTTATATAGTGCTTTTCAGGACACTCAAAGACGCTTCACATGCCATTAATCTTTCACTCCATACATGGTGGAGATAAACTACATAGCCACTTGCATGAAAAAGTATTTTGTAATCTGGATTGATAAAACATTTAAACATGGATATATAGATGCAAGAACCAAAAACACATCTTGGTTTGCCAGAGAATAACTACTGTATATCATTAATTATTAAGTGTTAAAGATTACTTTCTCAGCACTTTTCCACCTTCTAGGCACTTACTCTACTCACCCATACACATAAAGACATTCATATATCTCCTTATGGTTGTAACAAGACAAAAAGAGACAAATAATACCGATAGATTTAAAACACTATGTATCTCTGGCAGGCGGAGACTTCAGCAAAGCTCTCATTAACATGCTGTAGGCCACACTTCCAGCAGCATATCAGCAATAACATTCAACTCAATGCCATTGTAGCCTTTAAGATGGCCTTGAAAATAAAACACTACAACAGTGCCCTCATATCTGCCACTGGATTATAGATTTTTTTTGATGGGCAGTCCTCCAGTGCTGAAGACATCATCTGCAATGGTCTGTTTCAGGATACGGCAATGTAACTTTGGCAAGAACACACATTGCCATCAATGGAAAATAATATGCAATTCAATGTGCAATTAGCAATGAAAGCAGATTCTAGTTCCATACTGTACATTGTAGTGGCTTAAAAGGGGTCAAAACAGAAGGAGAAGAAATAAAATGCAGCGTATGAGATTATAACGTTCAAAATAGCAATATTGGGAATTGTAATTTTCAGTAAGTAAGCTTTATTCATAAAGCACATTTCAGACAAAAGTCACTCAAAGCACTTTATTATTTTGGTGTACTCATAATCTACATTCACTCCACATATGGTGATGACAGGAGAGGGGCCGGACACTGAACATCACCAATCTTTCTCTCACTACATTTTGACCTATTTTACATGTTTCTTGGTGGCAGGGAAACCAGAGCACCTGGAAGAAACCTACACAGACACATGCAGAACATGCAAACTCCTCACAGAAAGGAATTGTACCCAGGATCTACTTTCTGTGAAGCAGAAGAGCTCAGCGCTGGGCCATTATGCATGTAGTAATACGAGTAAATA